TAGACCCACAATCTGTACATCTAGAACTTAGTAGACCCACAATCTGTACATCTAGAACTTATAGATTTTCACAATCTGTACATACAAATCCACATTCTGTATTCATAGAACTAGTATTTTAAACCTGTACAAATAGAACTTTTTCAAAATCTGTACATATAGATTTTAGTACATTTAAGTACAGTCATGTAGAACTTAGTACATTTTAGACTCTGTATTAGAGATATTTAGAACTTAGTTGACTTTTCACCATTTAACTTAACAAATAGCAGCAGTATATATAGAACTAAGTACATTTGCACAACCATTAAAGCATCGTACATGTACAGCTTAGTAATTCATTCACTTAGTGCATGAAATTAACAACATTAATACATAAATTGTGAGAATATAATACCATGGGTCCACTCCTGAAAATAAGTTATTGGCAAAAAAATACTCAACTTATTGTTGTGGCTAAGAAATAAAGAGATAAAAATAAGAAATAAACTAATTTGCAATGTTCTGAATGCTTTAAGTACAAACAATTTCTCAAAATGGGAGTTGAATATTCCCAAGCTTACTATAGTATGATTTAAAGCTATAACTCTCTACCAGACATTTAAATTGGCAATTATCATAAAATTAAAGGCGTGGTTCCATCAAATCAGATAAACCATTACACCTTTGGGGAGCTTACCCCTTTCAAAAAAGTATGGGCTCAGGGCACAAGCAGGGTAACAATGAAAATATAACCTAGTCTAGGGTTTGGCAAAACCTGGCACTCATGGTTATATTTTCAAACTACTTCAGGAAGGTAAATTAAGAAATTCTGGTTGTGTTTTGGAAAAAATTTCTGGTTGTGTTTAGGGAAAAAACATTTGGTTGCCACTTTACATGAGTTTGCTTTATCAACACTCTTTTTAAAAAAATTATTCTTGACTTTCCAATCAGAATGTGTAGCCAAACAACAACCTAATCTGATTGGTTATCAGGATTTAAATCTCCGTACTGTAATTTGCGTATAAACCGTTCAGTCAGTTCAACTCCAATAAAGGCCATAATAAAAAGTACCGAGGTCATAAACATCAAAACTTTAATATAAATTAAGTCAAACTGACATACTCAGAGGGTTGTATTCTACTGCTTGGCTCTCTATTTCAGGGTATATTGGGGAAAAAAGGTTGATCACCAAACCTAATGATTTTCTTATTCCATGTAGTGTAGGCACTCTTCAACACAATATCACAGTGGGTGAAAATCTTTACACTTATATATTTTTCTACATGCACATGTATTCTCAAATTAGTACTCTTATAGTACATGTACAGGGTGGGCTGAAAAACGCCACTTTTTTTATATTACCTAGTATGTAATGTATCTTTTATTGCACACTTACTATGATAAAATACGACTAGTTACAATTCCACAACATTCAAACGTAAATTAGATGATACAAACAGGCCTTTATTTGTTAATGAAGAATACAAAATGATAAGTTATTGATAACTTATGTACCCAAGAAAACAATCAGTTATAAAAACATGTCGGTATAAAAATATTTTTGTTTTCCATAACTTGTTCTAATTAAATTGTATATAGGCGATGGGTCAAAATATTAATATGTTTTTTCTTGGAAAAAGCACTAGACTACCTCCCTTCCATTTTGTTAAAGCTTTCTTTAATTGAAACCAGAACAACGGCAACGCCAAAGCGTAGCGAATCCCATCAAACAGAGATAGCTACAAACGAATAACAAATATCATAAAACAACACACCAGAAAGGCCACCATTTTCAAAATGGTTGCTCACTTGCCAAGGTGTCATCAGAAGAAATAATATGCTTTTAAGTAGCCACCTCTAAAATTTTTGAAAAATCGCACACGTACTTGTAAAATAACAAACATAAAAATGGTGGCCATTTTTCAAAATGGCCGACTACTCCCCAAAGTTTTATTAGACAATGTGCCATGCTTACAGTATTCACATATCAAATATGAACAAAATCGCTCCACTACTTTTCGAGTTCTAGTAAAATACGTTAAAATGGTGGCCATTTTTCAAAATTTTTTTCAAAATGGCCACCTTCTACCATAAGTGTCATAGGACAGTGTACCATGCTTATAGTATTCACATACCAAATATGAACAAAATCGCTCCACTACTTTTCGAGTTATAGTAAAATACGTTAAAATGGGGGCCATTTTTCAAAATCTTTTTCAAAATGGCCGCCTTCTCACAAAAATGTCATAGGACAGTGTGCCATGCTTATAGTATTCACATACCAAATATGAACAAAATCGCTCCACTACTTTTCGAGTTATAGTAAAATACGTTAAAATGGCGGCCATTTTTCAAAATGGCCGCCTTCTACCAAAAGTGTCTTTAGACAGTGTGCAATGCTTATAGTATTCACATACCAAATATGAACAAAATCGCTCCACTATTTTTTGAGTTACAGCAAAAATCGTAAAATGACGAGTAAAGGCCGCCATTTTTCAAGATGGCTGCCATGCGCTTCTTTAATATCTACATTTGTAGGTTGAAGACCACAGTAGAGTTTCCCATAGGTGGCCATTATAACATTTTACCCTGTATCTTATTAACGATTAGTATCCAAGCCTAGTGCAACATACCACAGTGTTCGGGAGAGACTCGCCTAGCCTGCTATAACAATCTTACCATGGGTTGTCCACCGAATTTTTGAAATAAATAAACTTGAAGACACTAACCCCCTCTATCGTCAGATTTCTCAGAGAATTCTGGAAAAATCACCAAGGTCAAAATCACTCCGCCGCCAGCTTAAAATGAGATTTCCCACTGAACTCTGACATGTTTTCAGATAAATTAGGACCTACCCTATAAATATTTAGTCCCGATTCACTTCCCAAACGCCAGATGGCGCTCCAATGGCGTAGGGAAGGAGAAAATGACTTTTTATTCAGAAAACCAAATCACTAACGGTAACCGCTAATGTCCTTACTCAGGACTATATCCTAATAGTAAACTGAATTAGTCTGTTTTCTTCCAACATGGTAATATTAGCATTGTAGGCATTATTCCGATCACAATGGTATATAACAATCCTATATTTGAGAAAATGCACGGAGGAAAATTCAATCCTTATAGACACAGGTCCTTTTAGCAAAATTCAGGAAATTTGATTTTGAGATTTCTTGAAATTTCTTTGGGGTAGGGGTACACCTTACAGATTGCATCACAGATTGAGTACACCCAACTGAGGTGAACATGGCCATATGGGGTATCATTGGAAAGCGATTTCTACTATCTTTCAAGTGATATCCATGCTAAGGCGTTCGATTGCATCTTATGACGTCATATTGGTAGGAAAAAACAAAGGTTCATTCAAAACTGCCCCGAAAACAATTGAATGGCACGGGAGAATGGAATTCGGGGTACTTGGTACAGTGGCCTCGCCCCCAAAACACCAAAATTACTTCAAAATGTTACGATTTTGGTAGCATTGTTTAGCTAAGATACAGCCCTTTAATATGATATGCGCTATAAGGCTTCACAATGAACTAAAAAACCTCAAAAAGGGATAAAACCTTCAAAATGCCCCCAAAAAGCGCCTTCTAATAGGTTGAAGACCACAGTAGAGTTTCCCATAGGTGGCCATTATAACATTTTACCCTGTATCTTATTAACGATTAGTATCCAAGCCTAGTGCAACATACCACAGTGTTCGGGAGAGACTCGCCTAGCCTGCTATAACAATCTTACCATGGGTTGTCCACCAAATTTTTGAAATAAATAAACTTGAAGACACTAACCCCCTCTATCGTCAGATTTCTCAGAGAATTCTGGAAAAATCACCAAGGTCAAAATCACTCCGCCGCCAGCTTAAAATGAGATTTCCCACTGAACTCTGACATGTTTTCAGATAAATTAGGACCTACCCTATAAATATTTAGTCCCGATTCACTTCCCAAACGCCAGATGGCGCTCCAATGGCGTAGGGAAGGAGAAAATGACTTTTTATTCAGAAAACCAAATCACTAACGGTAACCGCTAATGTCCTTACTCAGGACTATATCCGTAGCATTATTAATGTCCTTTATAATTTTTTTACATTTAAAACATATTGCTATTACAGTTTTACATATTGCACCTAAATTACTGTAAAATCGGCACTAAAATGGCCGCCATTTTGAAATGAGCGGCCATTTTGAAAATCGGCTTTGGAGCAGAACTTCTAACCCCATAGGGTATATGTGTACAAAATATGAACAAAATCGGGCCAACGGTATTTGAGTTATTGCCCGGACGGACGGACGGACGTACGGACAGACGGACGGAGGTGTTCCCTATATCCCTCCGAACTTCGTTCGATGGGATAATAACATACATGTAAAATGTCACCAAGTTAAAAGGGGAACTTTACCCACAAGTTTTAAATAAAGTTAATTTCACTAAGAAATGACATATTCATATTTAATCCAATCCATAAGGATATGAGAACTAAATGTTTAATATGAAAATGAATACAAAAATATACAAAGAATTAAATGTATGAATGATTGCTTGTTCAGCCAAATAGTGACGGGGGAATAATAACATATATTAACACTAATATAACTGAGATATTTATAGTTTATAGATATCACATGCTGCAATTATACAATTAGTACAATTTGGATATAAAATAAGTTGCAAGCATTTAAAGGTAGAATCTGAAATAGATAGGAATTTTTTTTAAATATTACTCTTTTATTCTTCTTAGTAATTCCATGTGTTTATATTGGCAGAAGTCACGATGAGTGGGTAAATTAGATAGCCTATTTTTGAAATCCTGGTAAGAATGACTAGAATCAAGAGACAATCGTATCAACTCAAAGTTAAATTTTGTGTGAAAATTTTAACATGCTCAGAACAACCATTTTGATACCAAAGCATAACTGAATTTCAGTGTAAATTTTGAGAATTGATAATAAGAGGATAACATTAGACCTAAAGCTATTTGAGATGGTATAAACCTAGTACTCCAGCAATTTTGTTATTCCTCTAAAACAGATTCTACCTTTAAATCTGATTATGAAAATGCACTAATATCTCACTTTTATCATACAGTTATAATTTTGAATAAAGTACTTTTATAAAACATGTAAACTTGCATTAGGGGTCGGGTAAAAAAGGATGGACTTTTGTTAATACTTCTTTTGTGCAAACCCAGCCCTTTTCCCCAAATTGAACCTCTGTTGTCAACTTACCCCAATTAACTGATGAAATTTGCCCCATGGTATAATGTTTTTCTAAATACCATCTCACTTTTACTGATGAAACTCATGATTGTTATGTGTTGGCAAAATTTTTACAAAACATTGTATTTTGATCGATATTTCATGACAAATTAAGATGCGTCATAATTTTCATGGGGGTGACTGTTTTGTAAACACTAGGATGTGACTACACTGGACAAAAAGGGCTTGGTTTGCATAATAAGGTATTAACAAAAGTCAACCCTTTTTCCCTCCTTAAACGCAAGTTCACATATTTTATAAAGGAATTTGATCCAAAATTATTTCATCAGATGTCAAATGTTGATCCGATCCCTAAAATCATCCTATAGAAACTCATTTTCATTCAAAAATATTCCAGCACAGCTGTCAACAAGGTAATGTAATACAAATATTGAATTGATATTGGAAGATAAAAATATTGCAATTAAGGGCTTTTATTGATTCACCATTTATTCTTTGGTCATTTACCTTAAATTTTCACTAATCATTAACCTTCACTAAAACTCAAGGTCAGAATAAATTTTCAATAGGTTTAAATTTTATGTAAGGCAAAATCTCCATTTCTATTCATTATCAAAGTTTTGTATTTTTATGGTAAGCTAACTAAGTCACTCATGGCAATTTCACAGGATGTTCTTCTTCTAGGCTCCTTAACGTAAGTATCCTTTTTTCGAGTGCCATCCAAAATTTCCTTCTTCGAGACTTTAATTTCTTTTTCACTCTCCTCAGATTGTTTGTTGATATGAATCGAAGATGAAACATTGGATATTTGTACGTGTGGTCCATCTCGTGGGCGATCTACCTCCACTTCTGGAAGATTGAGCTTGTTTTGAGCACCATGAGATGTCACACTTTCATAAGATGAGCTCAGAGACCCCTTGGAAGAGTCGCTTGTATTAAGAGACACTTTGTGAACCTCAAGGACTGCTTTACGTATGCTGGAACTGCCGGATGTCGTAGTTTTCTCCATCTTGATGGTTGACTTAAGCTGGGGCTCAACTTTACAGGTAGCACCAGCTTCTAGGCTTTTTACACTCATAGCATCTGGGCTTTTCTCAGAGTGCTCATGAATCTTATCTCCCACACTTATACACTGTCTCTTATATTTCTTCTTACTCCCAAGCTTTCTCAGTCCATCATCAAGAAAATTGACGCTACGGTTTGATGTTGGTGAGCCGTGATTGGACAGATTTTTACTATGACTGCTACTGCTATTGTGACGCGATCGTGGGTTCTCTGTAAGCTCAATAGATGGAGCTGTTGTGATAGATACATTGTCTTTGTCTCTGCAAGTAGAAAATGATATAAGTAAAATATTGGACTGCATGAAATGAGATATAAAAATAGCAGCAGCAAATATGTGTGTACTTATTACACAAACCAAAATTTCTAAAATCTATAATAGAGGGCAGCACAGGGCTCTCGCTAGGCTTTTCGAAAGTGGCGCAGCACCACACTCCATTTAGCTCCCACCACAACCTATTGTAAATCATCATTGTTTCCAGTCTAAACATGACTGAATACACAAAAATAACATGTGAAAAGGATAAAATATAACATAAATATGATTTCCTTCACATTCTGAATATTTCCTGGCGAGAGTGCTGCAGCTCCTCTTTGTTAACAATGAATCAAAATGTCCATGTCAGCTTTTAAAACAGAGAATTGATATTGCACATTCAAGCATAACATAAGTGCTGTATGAGTATATCAATTATCATTTACTATGATGACAAAAAGGACACACAAACTCTGTGCTCAAAAAGTGAACTGTTACCAAAATATCATCAAAATTGCTTATTTATTGAAACCAAGAGGGCTCAGAAAATGGAGATGACTGATCAAAATTTGAACAAACAATGCATAACACGCAAATGTCACCACCTGCCATTTGTTACAGACACCAAATGCCAGACACTTGACACCATCCGCAGTCACAAAAAAAGGAAACATTAACATTATGTTAAAAACTCAGACGTTTCGACCAAATTCCATGAGTAAATGTCAAGAGCTATCATTTTTGAGGCTGTAACTTACAAGCATCACCTTGTAGTTCAATACAGCATATTTTGGACATTTAATGGAAATGTGACTGTTTTCTTTAAATTTTTTTAAAAAACTTGAGGTCGTTGGGATCATCGCATAGGTTCACAGTGTGGGCCAAAAACAATCAGAGGGCAGACTTTTCTGTAACTAACTAACTTTTTTATCACTAATAACAATTATAAAAAAATAGACTTACCTGTTACTGACTAAAGAACCATGTAAGGTCCGAGTGCTGGCGTCATCTCCACCTTTGATATCATCATCAAAGGAGACAGCCGCTGACTTCAGACTGTACTTGTCGCTTCCCATCATTGAATGACTTGTGGTCACATCAGCGTGCACCTCCAGCCTGAAACATGTTTAGTTATTGTTAAGTATTCTTCAAAGCATTGAAACAACAAGTAATGTTTGTTACTGAATAACAGGCATTCAACTAACAGTAACTGTTTCTCACTGAATAAGATGAACTCTACCTCATTGAACTAGCAGAAACGGTTCCTCGTTGAAACATTGTACTGATTATACAGGCACTATACCTCAGTGATTTAAGGGAATTTTTTTCAATGAACCAACAGATGCTGTACCTCACTGAATTCATAGGTCCTACGCTTTAATGAACAAACAAATACTGTACCTCATTGAGATTGTTTACTTTTTGGAATAAGTAAAAAGGTTTTATACAGTTGAGAAAGATCAAATGACCACAAAGAATATGTACCTATTGCTGAATCCATGAGAACCGGCCACAGTGCTTCCTGATAGACTCCCATTAAGGCTAGCCCCAGCCATGGCTCTGTTACTTGCAGAATCTCTGTAAAAGAAAACAATGAAAATACATGTATATTAATTTAAAGAGAGTATATTTACTATTAAATGACCACTACCTCTACTTCTTGTGTTGCTTTTATTAAAAATTAAATTCAGGAAAAATAAAAGGAACAAGTCAAATTAAAAATAAGATTTTTGTTGGCTAACCTATCACTTTCATCCCTGATAATGCCAGCTCTATCCATCTGGCTCCCACTGGCGCTAAGGCTTTGTGTAAAGGCAAGGGAGGCATCCCCGATACTGGGTCCTATACTAGGGTTTGCCACATTGTGACTGGCTGTGCCAACACTCTGGTTGTCACCTGAAGGGGAAGACACATTTATTAAAGCTACTAAGATAGAGTGAAGGGAATTTGACAAAATTACAATTGTGAGAGATTTATGGGAATTTCGAATATAGCTTTTCTTCAAAAGAAAAGTTCTATGAACCAGTCCAATATGTAAGTAATCTTGATCTTCAAATATATCCTACGTTCACTGTCATATTTGATGTTAACCAAAATAGATTTCATTCACCCAAAAGTTTTAGTTGTAAACAAAAATGTACAACAAATGTCACAAGCATTGCCAAAATAATTTTATCAGGTAATACTTAAAGCTGTTTGACAGTGAATCATTATGGGAAATAAACTAATAGTTATGGTATACCTGAAGAGAAGGGACCAGACACTCCTACAGTTACTTCATTGTCATCATCAAATTCGAAACGAACACCTGTTGTTGAAGTAGACACGCCGCAGCCTCCACTACGGCATAAAGAAATCGGCACCACACCATATACATATGCTAATAAAATAGGCACTCCAATACCTGAAAAAAACAATGTGTGAATACAAATACAATGTCAAGCAAAGAGAATGAAAACCAGAACAATGGCAACGCCAAAGCGTAGCGAATCCCATCGAACAGAAATGGCTGGCATTTTTACAAACGAAGCGCAAATATCATAAAACAACACACCAGAAAGGCCACCATTTTCGAATTGGTTGCTCACTAGCCAAGTTGTCATCAGAAGAAATAATATGCTTTTAAGTAGCCACCTCTAAAATTTTTGAAAAATTGCACACGTACTTGTAAAATAACACATGTAAAAATGGTGGCCATTTTTCAAAATGGCCGACTACTCCCCAAAGTTTTATTAGACAATGTGCCATGCTTAAAGGGTTCCGATAAGCTTCCCGTATAAAAACAATATGGCGGCTCCTGGATCAGTCCATTTTTAAGAAATAAGGGGAGTTCTGTAAAATCCAGTTTATTGAAATTGTCTTTGAGATAAAGTAATCCGTTTATAATAATTTTGAAAACGTTATCCATAGAGTGATTGCGTTCAAAGAATATGTACAACAGCCAATATAAATCCTTGTATTAGAACTGCTTTGTTTCATTTGTAGGATATTTCATATGCCAAGCTGTGTGCTATTACGTTATGGGGAAATTTAGATGTCAATTTTTCCTCATTATACACAAATAGACGATCCTGAAACTTCACCCATAAATGTGGAATTGATTTGTCAAAATAAAAATCACCCTTTTATAAATGTGTGACGATCTATAATATACTTATGCTATATAACAGTTAGAGGTGTTGACACAACGACCTCGAGCCTGTGAACCCTTGAGTATTATTCCGGGATCGGGCCTTTTATACTAAACGGTGAGCAACACCAGAAACTAGCGTTCTATTTGCTAAACGATATGCGTCACCCTTTAAAGTATTCACATATCAAATATGAACAAAAACGCTCAACTACTTTTCGAGTTATAGTAAAATACGTTAAAATGGCGGCCATTTTTCAAAATGGCCACCTTCTACCAAAAGCGTCATTAGAAATAGACGGTGTTCTATGCTTATAGTATTCACATACCAAATATGAACAAAATCGCTCCACTACTTTTCGAGTATTAGTAAAACACGTTAAAATTGCAGCCATTTTTCAAAATTGTTTTCAAAATGGCCGCCTTCTACCAAAAGTGTCAAAGGACAGTGTGCCATGCTTATAGTATTCACATACCAAATATGAACAAAATCGCTCCACTACTTTTCGAGTTATAGTAAAATACATTAAAATGGCGGCCATTTTTCAAAATTGTTTTCAAAATGGCCGCCTTCTACCAAAAGTGTCATAGGACAGTGTGCCATGCTTATAGTATTCACATACCAAATATGAACAAAATCGCTCCACTACTTTTTGAGTTACAGCAAAAATCGTAAAATGACGAGTAAAGGCCGCCATTTTTCAAGATGGCTGCATTTGTAGCATTATAAATGTCCTTTATAATTTTTTTTACATTTAAAACATATTGCTATTATAGTTTTACATATTGCACCTAAATTACTGTAAAATCGTCACTAAAATGGCCGCCATTTTGAAATGAGCGGCCATTTTGAAAATCGGCTTTTGAGCAGAACTTCTACTCCCATAGGGTATATGTGTACGAAATATGAACAAAATCGGGCCAACGGTATTTGAGTTATTGCCCGGACGGACGGACGGACGGACAGACGGACGGATGTACGTACGGACGTACGTACGGACGGACGGACGGATGGACGGACGGAGGCGTTCCCTATATCCCTCCGAACTTCGTTCGATGGGATAATAAACTAAAGAGGATTTAGATTCCAAATATATTCATCCTCAAGGTGTTCCTGGTGCAGAGACCAAACTCAAACTCAAAGAGAACAGAAGCATTGAATATAAGGTATATTTTGGGGTAGTGGTTGGTATGCATACGTCTCCTGACTTATCAGCATCTAATGAAATTGGTATTAGCTGTTTACATGTTTATTATTCAAACTAGAATTGGGACAAAGATCTTGATCTGAGTTCATTAATTTATAAATCACCCGAAAAATCATTTGTCATTTATTGCACAATAAATCAATGAACCTCGGGCTCTTTCTCAAAAATGCCTTCACAAATTCTTAACTGCTTGCAATTTGCGTCATTGACATATATACAAAGGTTCTTTCTTGAAATTACAAAGTAACAAAAGCTTGAAAAAATTGCTTGCCTAGCAAGTGGCATGACATGTGACTCACTCCACAAACTAAATTGCGATAATTGGCAAATTGAAGAGAGATGACGCAACCTAACCTGTAATTGCCAAGTTTCTCTTGTGTTTAGCCAAATATGGTATTGTTAAACTAACTCATACAAATCAGGTAAAGCACTTACTGACTGCTAACCCAGCAACAATTGGTGACACCAAGATAGATGATGCCACTCCACCCGTAATTGCTAAGTTTCTCTTATGTTTACCCGCATTCTCATATTTTGTATGAAGCTGAAACAAGAAAGGGGGATTTATCAATATATGGAGAAACAAGACTTCCAATAATAGGTGTGAAGTAGTTTTTACACCTATCATTGCATGGCATAACATGTGAATCTTGAGGTTACTGAGATAATGAATAAGATCTAAAACGCATTAAAACAAATAAGTTATAAGTAGTCTTAATAGTAGGTTTCATTGTATGCCATTCAAACATTGTAAATCGAAGACAGTACATGTACACCATTTCCATTTGAATATAATTATTGTATGTATATAAATATGATTTATAGCTCAGAACAGAATAAATCTTAAATGTCTCTACCTTTCTACCAACCCAGACAGGTATTCCAATGATCATAGCTGGCACTGCTATCCCTGCTACTAGACTGATGCCTACAGGGGCCCCTGCAAGCATACCTAACTGCCACAGGATTTTCTTTTTGCGACTCCATGGCTTCTTCCCCCAAAATGTACAGCCAGATGGACTAAAAAACAAGGTATTAGAGCATTTACTTTAAAGATTAGCTGGGTAATCAAACATGCACCCCTATCTTCTTTCTTTAATAAATGACTGCCTAAGATTGAAAGTTTTTTGGGTATATTACCTATCACACAACCATTCATTTAGCTTGAGAATCTCTGAAATTATTTTTGAGTGTTTGACATGAAAATACAACCTAATTTGTTAACATGTTATGATTCATTAGATACAACATGACTGCATAGCTTCCATAGTTATCATAATGACTTTCATGGCAACCATGGTGGTTTCCACCCATAGCAATCATTAGTACGACCATTGGCATAGCAACCTTCATTACATACCTCAAATAATGTAAGTCTGATATTTCCTTCATACACAACCAGCAGAATTCAGCACCACACACAGCACACGTCATATGATTGCACGACCCATCATCCATTTTAACGATAAATGCGCCACAGCGAGGGCAAGGCTTAATGTCACCTGAAGGACAGTAAATATATATGAATAATATTAAAAAAATACTAAGGGAAGATCATGAAGCTTAGAGATCAAAATGTCTGCAGTCACCCAGTTGTGTTAAGTTGTTGAAGTTGTTCATATTTACAAATTTAAAATAAAATGATTGTGTATCCAATAGATTTCATTCGTGATAGCTGCTTGACTATTACTCAATATAATACCTGATCTGTAGTCTATATTATGATTTGAACATGAAAACTCAACAAAATTTTGCAAAATCGTCACTTAATTTCCTACTTCCGGTTTAGTGTTTAACACTGGACAAAACACTTAGTACAGACCAGGGATTGTATTGATGAATAAATACTAGGTGAAATATTGACTTTGTTCACAGCTTATAGAAGGCATGTATAAAGTCTGATTAATTGAAACGAAGAGGGTCATTTACTACCCCCTCCCCCAGAAGAAACTACCTTTGTTTTGTTTTTGATCACTTACTCTGAGCATTATTAGAATCATGACTAAAGCTTAAAGAGTCGGATCTCAGATTTGGTGACCTCTCAGCCCGGGCAGCATCACAGGTCTGGTTTGGGTGCCACGTCTGTTTACAATGGTAACAAAATGAGGTCCCACATCCTGGCCGTTCACAACGAAGTTTTGGACAACTGGCACACCCTGCTGCTATGACTGCATACCTGGTTCAAGATGTTAAATACATAAATAAATGTATAACATGGTAATGGGTTCAGGTTGTTTTATGGTATCCATTTCAAGAACAATTTATAAATGGCCAACAAGTATTTACCCAGCATGTCCAAAACCTGATCAGACTAGTATGCTCTTGCATCTGTAAAATTTTCAAGCTGAACAAAGAAGTTTTTTCTGGAATTCTGATGACAAGATTTATGTGCTCCAATAATAAAACTGACATACAGCTCATAAAATTTGACCCCACTCAAAATGTTAACTCTGAATGCCTATGATAAATAGTTGCATATACATAATAATGTACTGGTTAAAGTAGGTCAAAATGAACTTTGAAATGGATGTTCATGTGTTAGACAGTTTTGTAAGGCAGAGGGTGAACAAAACAATACACCTAAAACTTAAAAAATGGTTGCCTTAAAAACCCAGTGTGACCAAAAAGTAATCAGTTCTTAATTTTCATATACAAAAAAAACATGCCTGAAAATATTATAGTGTCTATTCTTATTGATATTGTAAATCCACAAACAATTTTAATCTAAATATATTTTTTAAATCAGTTCTGTATTTTGACACATGGGAAGAGGCTATTCAGATTTTACGCATTAAGTTATAAATCAATTATCAATTACATCAAAATTGTTACATACCCACAATCCGGTGCTGGACACCATCGTACATCTGAGTCAGTCACAAGCACCCGTCTTAACATAAATTCCTCATATTTGGACATCAGGTGGAGATCCTGGAGTATTGCACTGATATCATTAGGATGGAACCTGGCACTGCACTCTGGACAACATATTCCAATTCGACTTTCCGAGATCTCGATCGTTAAGTACTGTTTTAGGCATGTGATACAAGATCTATGAGCACAAGTCATAATATTAGGAAAAAACTCTTCCTTATGTTCATCTAAGCACAATGGGCATTCAAAACAACCCCGTTCATTTGGAACACGTTTAATCAATGTCGAATCTGTTTTTGGGCTCCCTTCTTCTGAGCCTATAGACTGTAAAGAAGTCAGGTCCCTAGCGTTTAAAGCATCTTTATCTCTCTCTATACGATCACGTTCAATCCTTGAATGTATGTTTCCTTCAGATTGTGTTTCTGTTACTCTCCGCCTCTGCATATCGCTAAGAGGACGTGTTTGAGCACGATAAAAAATATCTCTCAGTGAAAATCTTGGAGTTTTCCGTCTCTCTGAGTTCTGCGAAAATCTGGACCTTCCGGAAGTCTTAGAAGTTCCTGATGTAGTGGAATAAGTATCCATCTCCCTCTTTTTACGATGCATTGTTATTAATAACTTCTCTTCCCTCAGTTACAGATCAGACACTGGAATAAAAACAAGATGATTAAAAGAGGTATTGTTCAAGAGCATTACCCGGTACACTACCAAAATATGTCTCCTCTCATAAATGCAGCATATATTTATAAACTTAAACCCTATAACCAGTTTAATTATCACGCTATTTTTGGATGTGTCTTAAACTCATTGCAGACATCATAATTTTATTATTGTTACGGTGATAATAGCATTGATTACTACACCAAACAAAGTAAGTAGGCAATTCCGTAGGCTAACAACCCTGTGAGCCAAAAAGGAATATATAAAAATCAAGAATAATAGGATGTAGAAAATGTTTAACTGGTGTTCATATTCCTCACATAATAAGACCCTCAAAATAATGAGATATAAGTTTAACATGACCTTACAAATAAGGTATAAAAAGACCCCGACAGACTCCCACTTTACATTGTACAATTCTATGAAATCAATATAAATTTCATTCCGCTTCAGTCTCTGTGAACTAAACAAAGAGTTAAGCTACTGCTCCTAAGAAATAAGGATGTTTACAATGCAATTTCACTTTTCTTAATCATGAGATGATTTAATGATATAACATCAAAACATTCTAATTTATCAATCCTTGTATAATCCGTAATTGAAGAATACCAAGATAAATAACTCAGACTCACTATTACACACTTTCAAAAAACTTGATGAGTGAATGGTAAAAAGATGTATTCTTATTTCTCAGGTTACATCAGGTTTTATCATTTCCCTATCCATTCTGAAAACACTATGTGCAAGTCCAGATCAGAGTGACTTGAATAGGCCTCTGACTGCTCATTGAAACTCACATATGCATCACAAAAATTATTGAACATTTCAAATTAGCAGTTTAAACATATTACCAGAGAAAATTTTTGATTAGGATCTTTTTGAATGGAGATACAGGGTGGGGCAAGAATGTTACCCTTATTGCAGTAGTATAAAATCAGAATGGGTAACATTTTTGCCCTACCCTGTACAATCAGATGTGAGTGGGTAGTTACCAGTTTCACCACAAGGTGCCTCGTTTGGGTCAAATAGCAAGGCAGGTATAGTAGAAAGTTCCATTTAACTTAAATATTCATCTGTTTTAGTTGTTCAATTTTCATATTACCCTTATGTATCTAATAGTTATGCAAATTAAAATATATCCAGTAAAAATGTTATCTGTACAGTAGAAGAAAAGATATTTCACTTTTTTTTTGTAATTTTATAACATGGGGTCAATGGGGAATCTCCCCAAACTAGAAGTCACATTTTCAAAAAAATTAAATTTTAAGTTGATAAACAATCTTCGAAACCTCATTTATAGATGTACTTTTACATGTAGATTTCAAATTTGGCATCACTTTGACTGAATTTTGAATATTTAATGACTTAAATCAAGAATATTTCTACTTGCATCTAGTAGTCCATTGAATTATTGAACTGATGAAAAAAAAGTTAAAAAAAAAAGTAAATAAATAAATACTGATACCTCCATTTATGCATATTATAACAATGTCTAAAAACAAATCTCATTTTATTGACGCAATATCACTGCATAATGTTATATATCTATTTTGTAAGGCTCCACTCTAATAATTTACAACATTTATTCCAACTTTGACTTTTGCCTCATTTTGGTTTTATGGTCTTGTAATTACAACTGAGCTAGCAAATATTTTGAAATGCACTTTGGAATTATAAGGCCAAAGGATTTTGATGTTTTCTATCAGCAACAAAAGATCTGTGGGAACTTGGCTATTCCTGCTGAATCTAGTCTTTAAGTAATATAACATTCAAATTTCAAAATGATTATATTCTAGGTTCTACAAGAGTTAGATAAAGTTAAAGGGACCAATCAGTGAAGTGATATTATTGTCATGTAGTAACTGACGTACTCTTTCATTTTTCATTTATTTAAGAAATTATAGACAACTTAATGAATGAATCCTCTTGCTTTCTCCTGTGTGAAGTTAAATCTATCCCTGCATTGGCATTGGCATTGATACTATAGTGGTAAACATCAATAAAAAAGTTTCAAAATGCCAAGACATTTTATATTTTTGCATAATCTTCTTATCTGTGTTACATGGCAAATTTCTATTTAAACCTGATATTAAACAAAGAATTTAACTCTATTGGCCTAAAGTAGGTGGTAGACTACACATGTTACACTTTAGTATTCAACACATCACCATCAATCAAAACACACTTGAATCAGCAACATATGGAAAATACAAAGGTTCAACTTCTTTGAACAAATTAATATATGCTAAAGTCTGGGAAATAAAGAGGTTGCCAACGGGATAAGAAGCTACAATATGCCTCGACAATTTTCAAGATGTTATTTCTAACATCTAATTTTGTTCCTATCTGTGAGCCTCTTCAGGTCTCACTTAACTTTTTTTATCAGGTAGATGTTTCACTACTTAGTGGATTTTCCAGGTAGCTATTTGAGAGAACCAGATAGTGAAGATTTTGATCTTTATTCTTACGACTTACCAGCGCAACAATAAGATATTACACTGTAGTGATCTCCCCAGCAGCAATAGCGCTGCACCCACTTGAGATTTTGATAATAGGCATTCATCCAACTGAGAATCCATTTGCACCCACTTGAAAATGAGAAAAACATAAAAAATAGGCATATTTAATGTCTGGCCAAGTTTTCTTGCAAAAAATGACTTATTAGCAACATCAGAAAGGAGCATAATAATGGAACGGATTGTTATTGGATTTTTTACAGTAAAGATCGCTAAATGAACCAAGAATCTAAACAATATTGCAAAAATCCCTAGTGGAGCCTCACAAATTGAATGATATGTTCTCCCCGATTATCTTTATTATTTCCGCTAGAGACCGTTCGATGTCTATCTAATTTTATACCGAAAGATATTTGTTTAATGATAGATCATCAGATTTATTTTCCAAGTAAAAGTCGTAAGAATAATGAGAAATGTTAGAAAGGAAAGAGGAAACTTCAAACTAAAGTTCATGACCTTGACTGTCATGTTGACATGCGCAAAAAGCTTTGCGATAGACTACTTGGTTAAATGCCGAAACAACTCTAGATTTGAACATTTCTTTCATACATTTCTGCCTATTTTGAGATAATATTAGTTTAGAGTTGTGTGAAAAGGACCCACTGATACATATTTATTGGGAGGATGCATCGAATTACAATATGCGTAATTCTTATCATGTTTTAGTGTGAGTACTCTAGTATCGCTCACTTCATTTCTCAGAAGTTCAATCTTTTTTCTTACCGAATCTTCGGGTCTGGAACTAGCGAAGTGAATCTAAACCTTCGCAACGCTAATTTCGAGGCCTGCTCTTTAATATATCAAATCAGCATCACACATTAATATTTTGCTCACATTTTGTAACTAATCTAGCAAAAAAATCATATGTACTCCTCAAAAAAAGTTAAGGACCTCATAAGTTTACATGTTAACCCCCATATTTGTTTTCTAACGACTGTTTTCTAAGCGGGGAACAAAAGAAATCCCAATAAACAAAATAAATCTGTATCTTGATTCTATTCACTATAAAGTCCGCAACGTTTCAACGTTATATCTCCATTACATTGGGTCAAAATTTGATGTCAAAATTGATGAATTTCATGGAATGTAACAAAAATGGCAGATCCCATGTTAAACAAATGGGGAATGGTGGCTTAGGGGCAACTCAGATTTTGGAATATCTATTCAGCAAAACATTTATTAAAAATACTTTCTAAGTAGAAAATTGAATGATTTTACATTTTACATGCTAAATGTCTCGCTTATGTTGTTTAAATTAGCGATACGGAGCGTTAAAGTAATTTTGACCACCTCACTGAACCACCTGCGTTATTTCAATAAGAGGTTCATTAAAAAATTATTGAATTTGAAACCATTAACTTTTGTAAAGCCTGGACAATTAAATCATATTTTTGTCGAGTAGACATTTTAGCAAATTTAATTATCTCTTACAATCTCAATTTTGAGAGCAATCGGATGGATGGATCGTTCCTCATATGACTTATGGCAACCCAACCATTCCCCATTTGTTTAACATGGGATCTGCCATTTTTGTTAACTTTCATGAAATTCATCAATTTTGACACCAAATTTTGACCCAATGTAATGGAGATATAACATTGAAACGTTGCGGTGAATAGAATCAAGATACAGATTTATTTTCTTTATTGGGATTTCTTTTGTTCCCCGCTTAGAAAACAGTCGTTAAACAAATATGGGGGTTAACATGTAAACAACTTTTTTTGAGGAGTATATTTAAGGATGCAGTACCAGGTCAGCGTAGAAAAAGTTCCAGACATTAGATTTTGCTCATATTTTTTACAATGTATCACTATGATGTAATCATCATCCAAGTGCAATATGAAGAGGATTGACCGTCTGGTAATTACAAAATAAAAAAATTATTTTACCCACCCAAAATGAATCTTTTTACTTTTTTGAGTTTTCAATAGAGCTGGCACCTTTCGAACCCTGGTTTTCGTATCCACTAATTGGGACTCAAGAACAAGTTTTCCCATAAAAGTGAAAGGGATAAAACATGCTCGATAAAATGTTTGCAATTTAATTATTTTCTGGAAACACCATTATCGAAATAAACTATAATTTTTGAATAAGACTAAATGCGAAAATGACGTTCTTGGGAGCTAGCTTTCTCAAACCGGAAGTCAAACCTGCGCAAACAGACGTGAAAACCAACCCGGTACTGCATCCTTAAGGAATAAAGACTGAAATTCTATGATTTATGGCAAATTTGAACATGACTGTATTCTCGTCTTCTATAAACTGTGAACAAAGTCAACATTTCACACAGGGTATATTCGTCAACACTACCCCTGGTAATACGAGTAATATGTGATGTCATAATGATGGGCCGTAGTAATATTCGAAAATTCCTGGTGAGTTTTCATGTTCGAATCATAATATAGACCTCAGAGCATGTGTAATATCGACGAAAACACCCAGCAGGCCCTTTTGTGCCTAGCTCTAAGGGGTGTATTTGCCGATATAACACCTGCTCTTCGGTCTATAATTCTTAAATATGCAAATAAAGGTGCAAATTTTTCGAAACAAATGCGTGATATATAGACATGTTTTGGACCAAATGTGTGACGTAATACGGAAATCGCGTGCAAAGTCTAAACGGAATGCGTGCGCTTCTTTTCTGCATTCGTTTTTTTCACCGTATCAGCATTTTATAAAAAACATTTTTTGAAAATATCAACATAATGCGTGATTTGCGTGACATTTGATGCACATTATCGAGGAAAAGTGATTTTGATATATCCAGAACTTGTGACTAAGGAAAGTATAGTAACAAGGTTAAACTCAATAACGGCCAAGATAATTACTAAAAGTAAAGAAAGCTGTTATTGAGTTTAACGATGTTGAACTAAAGATAAAACAGAAATTCTAGTGACTAGTTCATATGGTTAAAATAACGAAATGTAACCAAGTGTGTCTACTTATCAGTTTGTTCTATGTCATCCATCCTGCTAGGTTACATTGTGGAACTCAGCCAAACACGACACTGAAGGCAGTATTCTGAGGTTATAAAATCTAAAAAATTTCCGATTTGCAGCCCTTTAGAGATTTCCGGAATTGAACAAAGTAGCGAACATTGCGATCTTTCAACTTTAGTTCGTTGTTTTTGACCACTTTATGTGTATTGTTTTCATTAAGGAGGCAGTCTTATTTGAATGCATCATTTCAGGTCTTTATGAATCAATAGATCAATAAGCAGACTAAAAATTCAAATTTAGCAGTTTCGTTAGTGTCGTACTGGGCCTGTTAGGCACGAAAAACAATTTAGCAGTTTAGCGTAATTGGGCCTTCTATAATCAGTAGCAAATGCTTGCAAAACATTTTCCAAAATATTTACTTCCGTTTTCCTTGAAGACATGGTTGGGTGACACGTCATTGACACGTCATTAAGTCAAATGATCGATACAGTAACTAGTCACATGATCAGACACGTGTCATTCAAGTGAGCTTGCAAAATGGACAATCTAAATTTCCAAGAATTCTGCTAAGATCAGTATCGATATGTTGTTGCCTTCATTGTCATGTTTGGCTGCGTTCCACAATGTAACCTAGCAGGATGGATGACACAGAACAAACTGATAAGTAGACACATTGTTACATTTCATTATTTAGTTATTTTAACCATATGAACTAGTCACTAGAATTTCTGTTTGATCTTTAAATATTGAAATAAGTACGGAATATGCCTACATCAATTAAAACATCACAACGGAGCTTAGTATTTGAAAACTAGCCGGTGAAAATTCAAACAAACGATGGAGGTCAGCAAGTGACATAATCATGACTGTTATATCAAAGCTCTGGGATTTCCCCTCCTCTTGGGCTAGTCTAAGTAGAGGAAAAGACATACGATCAAAATATTGAAAAATTAGATCTAGATCTATCATCGAAAAAAATAAAAATTCTTACCGACTTCCTGCTCAAAGTAATGTACTTCTTTTGTCCTTTTCGTGTCCCGTATTAGATGATCACTTACATAATTCATCATAGCAATACGTTTCACTTATCATTTTTACCATTAATTAGTGAGATTTTGAAACAAAACGAAAGAATGTGACAAATGTTTATCAAAAATTGTCTTCACAAATGTTTCAGGAAGTGACGTCACTATCGGATGTCACCGGATACTTCCGAAGGCTCTTTCGTTTAAATAACTAACAAGCATTTTATAGTTTTTATTCTATTGTAACTCATATTTTTAATTTTGCATCATTTAAAAGAGAATTTATATTTCATTGGAAAAAAATTAAGAAAAAAAGTGAATCTACGAAAAATAAAATGGCGGCGCCCTTGGCCTGAATAAAATTTTTGCAAATTTTGATATTTTCTAGTCTATGCTAGGCCTATTAGACTGGCAAAGGTGCAGGGACAGGTAACATAAAGATTTATTTTTATTCCCAAATACACATCGGTATAGTCTAAATTTCCATGTTAAGTTTCTTGTTATTTTGATCTCTTTATGCTCAAATTTTATCTTTCATTGAAGAGGTCTTCAAGCTTCAAGTTCAACGCATAAATCCGATAAGATAATCGGATCAAATATTCGAATTCAAAATCATTTATTGGAGCTTAAAAAGTCAGCTTCAATATGCAAGTCAATTCTTTAGATGATGAGGGTGAACTAATTGACCCATTCTGTGACTCCAGTAAACCAATACAGGTTCAGTTCCAAGATGTCAGTGCTGCTGCTTATAAAATCAAGTCTGGTATTCAGGCTACACCCTGCACTCTGTCGCATATCTCTGACTATGTTGACATGGAGATATACTTCAAGAAGGAATTCTTACAATACACTGGAAGCTTTAAAGAAAGAGGTGCAAGATACACACTCATGATGCTCACCAAGGCCCAGAAAACCAAAGGTGTAATTGCAGCTAGTGCTGGGAACCATGCCCTAGCCTTAGCCTACCATGGACACGACCTTGGGATACCAGTTACAGTGGTGATGCCAGTAATTGCACCCATGATGAAAGTGATGAGATGTAAACACTATGGTGCCAGTATTATAATACATGGAAAGGACATTATCGAATCAAGAAAACATGCCATGCTTCTAGCCAGGGACAATGGATCTCTCTATGTCAATGGGTATGACCACCCGCACATCCTTGCTGGTCAAGGCACCATGGGTCTAGAGATAGTAGAGCAAGTGAAGGATATCGATGCAGTCGTCATACCTGTAGGAGGAGGGGGGCTTATTGCAGGCACAGCTCTAGCTTTAAAGAATCTTCAACCTAATATAACTATAATTGGGGTTGAATCAGAAAAATGTGCAAGTTTCACTGCATCTCTAGAGGCTGGTAAACCTGTTTATGTAAATGCAGCCTCGACCCTGGCAGATGGTTTAGCTGTACCTTTGGTAGGAGTGAATGCTTTTGCCACTGCTGCTCCTCTTATTGACAAAATGGTGGTTGTAAATGAAGAGTACATTGCTCTGTCTATCTTACGTCTGGTGGAGATTGAGAAGGCAGTGGTAGAAGGTGCAGGAGCCACTGGACTAGCTGCTGTATTAGCTGGCCTACTTCCAGAACTTAAGGGCAAAAGGGTGGTGATTCCTCTATGTGGAGGCAACATTGATACAACTATCTTGGGAAGATGCATCGATAGAGGTCTTGCCGCAGATGGACGACTGTGTAGATTTGTTGCCACTGTCAGTGACAGACCCGGGGGTATAGCTGATCTTACCAGGCTCATGTCAGATATGCATGTCAGTATCAAGGATATTTTCCATGAGCGAGCTTGGCTGAAGTCTGACATATTTAGTGTGCAGGTTAAATGTGTAGTAGAGACCAGGGACCAGGCACACGCAGAAGAACTTAAGAAAAAACTCAGAGCCACCTATTCTCATGTTATATGGGGCAATGCTCACAATGAGGGGACCACATCTGTGCCAAACTTGGACTAGTCAAATATCTATAGCAGGGCTCTTACCAGGAAATATTTAGGGTGTGGTGGAAACATATTTAGCATAACTGTTCAATCGTGATGAATCATATTCATGTTATATTTTATTCTTTTACATGCTAATAGTATGTACTGTATTCAATCAATATTAGACTGTGGGAACAATCAATATTTGCCAATAGGTTGTGGTGGGAGCTAAATAGAGTGTGGTGCTGTGGCACAGTCTAAAATGGGATGTGCCAAAAAGTTGGAACGTTACTGTACTTAAACATATTAAATGTATGTTAAAAGATTTATTTATCCATTGAAATACATTAGAATATTACTAAGCAAAGTTCATTTAAATGTACGTTGGCGGTAAAGTTAATAAATGCAGCCTCTCGTGGTAATGAGTTTTACAAGACAATATTTGATGTGACTAGGCTAATATGACCTCCTCCCAAAAATACAATTTCAAGTCTGGAACCCCATTTCAAAAGAAATCATTCATTTAGTTGTTTGTTGGTTTTCCTCCAAGCTACTGTATTTGTCTTTAAATTGGCGCTAGGCCTACTTAATTTGGCAATTTTGTGTTTTTGGGCATTTTATCATCTATTTAATTTGATGGTTTTTCAAGTGTCCCAATTCAAGATACTCATTGTCAGTGTCAATTTGTTGTTTATATAAATTTCTTCAATATTTTGTGTTGTTTCTGTAAATTTAAACATCCCAAAGGGAGATATGCTGATTACTCAATTAGTACTAAATTAGCACTCTGGCAAAAGTGCATTCATGAGCACTCATGTCACGAGTGCTAATTTAGTACTAATTCATCAGTGATCTCCCCGGGATTTTTTCTTAGGGTGGTGCAAAATTCTCATTTTCACAATTCAGACCAAAATTGGTCAAAATTTGCCAATTTTTCTCATTTTCAAGTGGGTGCAAATGGATTTTCAGGTGGGTGCAAGCCTATTTTCAAAATCTCAGGTGGGTGCTGCACCCACTTGCTTTAATGCTGGGGAGATCACTGTTCATGATATGAGTACTCATTTAGTGCTGAAAAATCAATTTTATTAGTACCATTTTATCACTCATGATATGAGTACTCATTTAGCGCAAAAAAATCAATGAAATTACTGCTATTTTGTCACTCATTTAAAATGCCATTAGTTCTATTTTAGTACTCGGCATATCTCCTTGTGATCTTTCTTATAACTGAAAGTGCACAGAACGAAAAACATGTCATATTCCCGGGGATTTTGGAGACTTTATTTTGGTGATTTTTTAATTCGCCAAAATTCGCCAATTTAAAACGCTCTCCAAATTAAAGACAAATACAGTATCGATCAAAAACTTCAACTTGGCAAAAACCTGTTATGTTTGTCAAATCTGGTAACATGATCAACATTTTGTATCCAAATTGATTGGTAGCAAGCATTACAGGGTATTTCATATGTATGCATCCCACTCTAAAATCATATACATGTATGTAGCATTGTAACCCTCTCATTTTATATATAATTTCGTTCATCATTGAAAGTTACATACATGACATAAGATTGCAAAGTTTCAGAATCCAGGGGCATCCTTGAAGAAAGATACAATGTATCGAAGTATGTGGGAATAGGGCCATTTCGGGGGGGATTTCTGGTCATTTTAAGGGCAATTACAGTAAAATCTTAAATGTTTGGAACTACTTTGAATTTAAAGAATAAGCAATCAAAGGACCATATTGAAACAGTATATGTAAAAATAGAAACATATACATATTCTAACTTTTGTATATTTTAGTTTGTTTTGTAGTTTAGCTATCATATCTGTGCCCTCTTATATTTTGATGCTTCTCTGCCATGTTATTTTCGGAAAAATTAACATGGCCGAAACTCCCTAAATTACAAAAGGCCACAGCTTTACTGCACATTATACATGTTATACATAACTATCTGAAATATACAAAAGTTAGGACAAGTACATAGGTTTCTATTTTTTTTATATACTGTTGCAATATAGTAATTTGATTGCTTATTTTTTAATTTCAAAGTAGTTCCTAACATTTAAAATTTTACTGTAAGGAAGGGCAATGACAAATTTAGTTTCCGCATTGCACACTTCTAGCAAGTTATGGCAGAGTTCAGTCCACATGTCTGTAACAATTATTCACAAAGATATACTGTATCAGTATATAGCCAGCACTGGCGGATCTGGGACCCGGGCCCAGAAAAAAAAATTGGGCCCAAAAAAATTTTTGAGCAAAAAAAGGCCTTAAGGCCCCAAAAAGTGGGCCTCTTTGGTCATAAATGGGCCTTCTAAGGCCCAAAATTTCTCTCAGACCAGAAGTTTGGGCTGGACTAGATCACTGGACTAGATCCAAATATGCTTACAAAAATACTTATAAATTACCCTAACCCGCATACTTTGATACATTGTATCTTTTTTCAGGGACACCCCTGGATTCTGAAACTTTGCAATATTATGTAACTTGCTGAAAGGAACAACATGATATATAACATGATAGGCAATGCTACTTGTATGAGTTTAGAGGGGGGTGCATACATATGAAACACCCTCCTATATGTTTGTTGAATGCATTCAGTAAGATTTTGGTATATTTTAGAGAAGAAATTAATGATCAATTAACAAATATTTTTCGGCCCACCCTGTACTTATTGGCTTTCATCCATTCACTCATTCATCCATCTGATTGTGTGTGTCAGGGGGTGGCGATTGTTCAAATATTCATTCATGATTTGATTTCAAATTTAAAGGTTGATGTGAAGTAGGACTTTTTAGAAAAGTTACTTTATCAACATTTTTGGTAAAATATGTTATTAATATTATTAAGGAACTCAAATAATGGCATTATCTCACTCAAAAAATTGCTAGGTTAGATATTATAATTAATTTACTAATACTTTATTTGATGTGACATCATTTGGTTGGACGTTCATTGAGTGGTTTTAACACATTTTGAAACATTGAGTAGCCTAATAAGATGTACTTAAAATTACAAAGCCCAACCAATATTGTTCTGTTTCTTTTGTGTTATGGATGACTTACAATTTCGAGACATTTATGTAAGCGAATTAAAAAATATAGACTGAAGAGCAGCTTTTGTGCCAAGCCCTAAGATATCTATTCGTCGATGTAACACCTGCTCTTAGGTCTATATTACGAAAACATGAAAACTAACCAAATTTTTTTGAATATTCATTATGGCCCACCTTTATGACGTCACAGATTACTCATATTACTGCTGGTGTGTCGACGAATATATGCCGGATGAAATATTGACTTTGTTCACATTTTATAGAAGGCGTGACTACAGTCATGTTTGAATTGATTTTAATGGAAGAGGGATCAGTCCACACACTCACACCACCCATATTTATATCTACACTCGTGTTGAAATATAGTTCGGATTCAGTGGATTGGATTGGTAAAAGGTAGATTGGATCAAGAATTTTCAAAATATGGAATTTATGTGGCTAGTTTAATTTGAAAGCTCGAATCATTTGTTTGTGACTTAAATGAATGGAACTACTTAATTTGTCTTCTTTTTTAACTTGGAGGATTGAGAAATTCACCAAATTTTCATATCTATTTTGGAAAGTCCAAGAATCACTGAAACTACCCGCACTGTACATAACCAGAGATTGTTCATAATTGAATCAAAAATTGATGATTTAAGATTGAAAAGTTAGACAATTAATTTACAACTCGTCATTGCTAGAGGAATATTTCAAACATTGCCTCGTCTGCCTCATCTTGGCTACACTAGAGATAACATGATTAAAGTACAAAAACTTATCATTGTCCAATCGGTTTGTCATCACTGAGCCACCTGCACATTTTCACAGTCAATTATGCCAATTTAGAATACTTGCTATATCTAGTATTTCATAACTCAGATTTAATAATCAAAAAATGAATGTAGCAAGTTTTCATGTCTTATTAAGAGCCAATCAATACAAGAATAGATACACTGGGCCTTATACTCCTGCCCATACATTGAACTTGTTTATGAAAAACTAAAATCACTTCCATTTTTCAGAGTCAGGATGAAATTGTTACGGAAGCCATCAAGGAAGTACCAGGTGGTATTATTCATTGCTATGGCTGGAGGCCTCTATCTAACATTCCAAGTGCTCATACTTCAATTCATTGATGTACAGAAACCAAGTTGGAATAAGAAAAAGACTGTACAAGACTTTGAACCACCACGGTTTGATGAAGCAGGCCATTGGAACAAGGAATACCTGGAATTAAAGAAATTAAAAGATGTTATCAATAAACAACGAAAGAAGGAGGGCCTGGAGAAATATAGAGAGGATGTGTGGAATAAAGATGAGAACAATATACATGATCAAGAAATAATTAATGCTCACCATGATGAAAATATTAAAAAGACAACTAGTACTACTCTCAAACAAACACAAATTAATGCTAAAAATAAACTGTCCATAGATGTTGTGAAGCAAGAAGGAAAATTGTTAAATATGTCAGTTGGATATAACGATGGGATATCCAATCAAAAAGACAGAAAGAGAAATCAAAAAGATGAAAATAAAATAATTAAAAGTGACAATTCCATTGAGGTTATACCAAGAGGAGTACTTCCCATAATGGCTGAAAACTATCAATCAAGTGTACATTTAAAATTCCGCTGTATTCATTCCAAGGTAAGAATAGAGCCCGGAATAGAGCAAATTGAAATTACTTTGAAAATAGCTACTGTAGATTGGGTTAATTTGGCACCTGCTTTAATTTGGCGAAATTGAAAAACCGCCAATTTACATCTTCGCCAAAGTTAAAAAAGGATTCCTGAGAAATTCAGAACAATTCAAGCCCTAGTGTTCGCCAAATTAAATAACCGCCAATATGCCAAAAATGGTGAAATCACCAAAATTAGCACCAAATTAACCCAATCTACAGTATTCATTATTTTTTGTACTAATCGTCAAAGTTCTTCAAAGGAAATGGCTTGTCACATGCACTTTCATCATCCTGAGCTATTGAGCACTTTCAACTCAGTATAATTGGTTATCAGCACTTTCATCATCATGTGCTTGGTATTCAGCACTTTCATCATCATGTGCTTGGTATTCAGCCATTTCAACTTTATGCACTTGGTTATCAGCATCATCATCATGTGCTTTGTATCCAGTGCTTTTGATCTTTATGTACTTGGTTATCGGCACTTTCACCATAATGTGCTTGGTGTTCAGCACTTTCAACTTTATATACATGTACTTGATTATCAGCACTTTCATCATCATGTGCTTGGTATTCAGCATTTTCAAGTTTATTTACTTGGTTATCAGGACTTTCATCTTGATGTGCTTGGTATTCAGCACTTTTAACTTTATGTACGAGGTTATCAACAGTTTCAACATCATGCTCTTGGTCACTAAGCACTTACATCACCATTTATGATGGGCATAGTAATGATAATCCCCACCTTCAATACCATACGCTTGGTCATGAGCGCTTCCACCATCATGTGCTTTGTAATCAACACCTTCAACATCATTGCCTTTTTTAATTACAGTTTTCCATAAGCACTATCAACATGTACATTTACTTGGCAATCAGCACTTATTACATACACAAAATAATTAACAAATTTTGTTAATATTAGCAAATGTGTATACTTAGCTTAGAAGCATGTTACACTATCAGTTATCACATGTTTCAGCATGTGATATGGGAAATCTTTCACGAAAGTAAAATTGTACCACCACAAAAGCGAAGCTTGAGTGGTGATACATTTTTACTTGAGTGGAAGATTTTCCATATCACACAAGCTGAAACGTGTGATAACAGATTTATCACTTACTATGTAAAATTCCAGTAATTTGATTTGGCAATAAGTACATGGCTATTGCTCATTATATGAAAAATATTACACTATGAACCCATTTATTCCTCGTGTACCCATTCAATTTAGTAATGACGTCATCAACAGTATCTAAGGCAAGAATATGAAACCTCATCACTGGTTGTAGTAACGTGTGAGATGGGAAAACTCACACGGTAACCAACCAATCAGATTACCGGAATTTTACATAGTATGTGATAATGTCTAATAAAAGTTTGGCTAACAGGCGGCCATTTCTAAAAATGGCTGCCATGGCTGTTGGATGTGATTTGCTACGCCTTGGCATTGTTGTTTAATTGTTGTTTTATTCAATTCAATTAAATTGTTTTGTAGTGCTTCATTTCAGTTTTTATACAGTTGAAAATGGATCCAGACAGGATCCGAAACATCCTGTTTAGTAAAATAAAGGTTATGAAAAGAAGAAAAAAATATTTTTGTGATTTGATAATCAAACCTGAAGAACATGTTTAAGAATGTTGTTTTATTGTTTAAGGATGAGATTCCATTTACCCATGTGAATGATGATTATTGTGACTGTGAAGATGGCTCAGATGAACCAGGCACTTCAGCTTGTAGAAATGGCAGGTATGTTTTAAAACACATTATGTATGTTTTAACAAAGAACTCATCCCCAGTCACCACTTTTATAGAGAGATGTAATTAGAAACTGCACAGACTGAACAGGTGATATATAATATATATATATAGAGATTATCCTATATGAGGTTCAGGATATTGGGATTATCCCGAGGCAAATATGATATATTTGCCCGAGGGCCGCAGGTCCCGAGGGAAAATATGTTATATTGGCCAAGGGATAATCCCAATATCCTGAACCGACTATAGGATAATATGTTTATCCCATACCGATCTTGGTTATCTGGTTCACATTGTTCAATCGTGGATATATTTTAGAATATTCATGTCCAGTTTTGTTTTCTTGGCCGTGGGTGGATTTTCCTGTTCTCTCAAATATTCCCATATTTATTTTCTCGAATTTTTGATTGATTAAGTGGATTAACAGATCCCGATTGTCTGTGTTTTCTCCATTGTCGTTTACAGTCATTACGTGAACGTTACAAATTATGAACAAATATGCGAGCGACGATTATGACGTAGCGGGCAGATATACTATATCTGCCCGCTCGGAGCGGGACGTAAAGCTATATCTGCCCGCTGATGAAAATATAAGTTTTTACAAACTGGCTTTATGTACCTGTAACACGTCCAAGTATGGGATAAATATATATATATAATAGTAGTCAATTTTTGTCAATTGTTCAAATAGTCTAAAATAAAGATGATGTTCATTTATGTCAGTTTAAATCTGATATAGACATTTTTAGAGATTTGATAAAGGTAGAGAGGTAATAAAGAGCTTTTAACATATAAATGTGTTTGGAATGACATTCAATTTTGCAGATTCTTTTGTAAATACCAAGTGGACCTTAGAAAACCGATAGCAGTATCATCATCAGTGGTGAATGACGGAATATGTGATTGCTGCGATGGCTCAGATGAATGGAGTGGTGTGGTACTTCCGAAAGAAATCCAAGTCACAGGTTAGATAGATGGCCGTACTAGACATACTATTACAGAACTATGTTCTATCTTCTGCCAGTAATGTTTATGTTTTAATCATATTAACATATTATGAATTTAATATTAAAAAGTGATATTGTGTAGCTGCATTAACAAACCACACAACTGTGTATCATACAGATTTGAGCGTACATGTATTTAACAAAAAGAGATGAACATTTGAAAATGTGACATTAACATTTGTGTATTAATCTGTCTGGACATAGGCTTTTTGAAAGCCCATGGTCTGGTAATATTACTCAAATACCAGTTGAAAATTTAGTTCAAATTTCATAGGCTGATGCCGTATGGGCATAGAGCCTTTGCTCAAGAATGAATTTACAAATTGGTTTCTCAATTCATTATTGTCATCACCATTTTATCTTGGGAGAAGGAAATTTGTTTGAGAAGGACTTTTTAATATGGTGTCAATTCAAAATGACCACAACTTTTTGTAAGCAACATCAATTTTGACAACTGAAAGACCATTGGCAGATTTGGTTCCGATTTTCTTTGCTGCTGACCAAGCCCAAGGTGCATATGACCACTGCTCAAGAAGAAATTTTCAACATGGTGGCTGAATTCATAATGGCCACCATTTTTCATGAAACGATGTAATGTTGACTTGAATATCAAATGATTCTTTTTTTGGCTAATGTCAACAGAAAATAGGACCTCTGTTCAAAAAGGAATGTTGCTTCTCATTTCAAATTCCTGCCACTTTCTTGTAAAAAAAATAAACACGTCTCGCTCACCAAGTCATGTTGTGTCTCTAGATTTCGCCAGATGAGAAATAAAAAGACAAGACTACTGCCTGGTTGTGATTGACATGTAAAGTTTGCTACTCAGAGGAGTTGGTAGTTAATGGAAAAACACAATTTCCTGTTTCATTTTCTCATTATCTCATTATTTTAACTTAATGTATTATAATTCCATTTTTCCATTCTACAGATCAGAATGCAGCATTACCAGTCTTCCATGCTCCCTGTCAGAATCGGTGCCATGCGGTGGAACAACAGAAGGCTAAAGATATCCAGCTCCACAAACTTGGTGCTAGGTTGAAGCAAGAGTACATTAAAGAAGGAAAGGGAGAAAATGAAAAGGTAAATGACTAATAAATACATTTCAGGCATAGCTAGGTGTACATTACTATATTTCAAAGATTTTGATGGGTCCATTACTATTTTAGTAATGCACAGTTTCAGATTGGTCAGTTCATCAATAATATCATCTTGTTAAAATACGGTAACTTATGAAAATAGAAAATATAACTTCTTAACATACAACATCAAAAGGTTTAAAAAAATACTCATGGAACAGCCTTGGTTGCCAAAATGAAGGTCACTTTGATAAGTGTTGTTCAGAAACTGAAATAGTATTTTTCACAAATGCAGTTTTGACCCTCCGTGTTGTCATTGTGGCATTGCAATACTATTGAGATCACCGCATGCACTGCATTTGAATGTTTCAGATCTATGGACCAGATGCAGTGTTCTTCAAACTAAGTCATAAATGCTTTGAGATTAAAGCGCATGAGTATGAGTACTCAGTATGTCCGTTCAGGCACGTCAAACAAATAAAGTTTCCTTCATCTTCTAAAATGTTAGGTAAGTCAATACAATTTGTAAGTCAATTTTCATTTTTGTACAGTGCAACATCATTAAAATACAAAAGTATGTGAAATGGATAATTGAAAATCCATTGATTCATCAGTAAATCTGAAGACCGAGCAAACCACAATAGTTCAATATCATAGTTCTACATGAACATTAAAATGAATATAAATATCCTCATATCAGTTCCATTTAATTTTGTTCAAGACCTATTAAGCTTAAAAGTATGTGTAGAAGGGAAGGGTTTTATTGTACATGTACACGTATATCACATTTAGGTAGAAAGACCCGCTGGATTACACTGGAAAAGGATCACTATGTGTTAGGAGTGGATGATGGGGATCATGATGGTTGTGTAGCTTGGCCTAGGCACTCTGTGGTATGCATGAATTTTAAAACATTAAATATTTGTTTTGAATTAACTCAAATTAGTATATTATGAGGTTATATAATGGTTCTTTCTGTATATCGTGTTTATACTCGAGTGAGTATATGATATATTCACAAGTGAGCGTAGCGAACGAGTGAATATATTATATTCTCACGAGAGTATAAAATGCACGATATACAGAATGAACCATTATATAATCTTATCATGCCACTCTAAGTTCAATTACAGTTGATTTGAACACAATCATAATAACAATTAAAAAACATAAAAATATCCCATAGCCAACTCAATAATGCTGATGTTGATTTATGACGTCACTTGATTCTAGGAAATCGTGATTCTTTTATTCATCATTTCCCAGAATGCACTTCTACAGTGGTATACGCTGGAGTGTATACGGAGGAGTTGTATACGATGACGATATACCACTCTCCACTGTATATCGTTGTTATAGACCCATGTTATACAACTGTAATTGGACTTAGAGTGGTATAAACATGTATACGCAATAAGTAACTATAAACAAAAACTTATCCTTACTATTTTTATCGCACTTTGAAAAAGTGCTATATTGTCGTCGTCTTGTGCTGTTGGGCGGGCGTGTGGGCGTGCGAGGGGCACATAAACCAAATCTTGTCATCAAATTTCCAGGATAACTGCTTACCTGATCAACTTGAAATTTTTACAGATGCAAGAGCAGACTAGTACCAAGATCTGATTAGGTTAAGGGCATGCTGGGTAAACTACGTGGCGGCCATTTTGAATTTTTCAACAAATTTTGTCATCAAAATTCCAGGAAAACCACTTATCCGTTCAACTTGAAATTTTTACAGATGCAAGAGCAGACTATTGCCAAGATCTGATTAGGTTTTGGGTATGCTGGCTGAATTACATGATGGCCATTTCGAATTTTTCAATTTGGCGGCCATTTTGAATTTTTCAACTTGCTCCAAATTGACCAAATTTTTTTTAAAAACATCTACAAGTTCTCAGAAGTTCAAATCTGACCTTAGATTTCAGATTTGACCTTTCGTTCACCTTCAGTGACCTTCAAAAGGTCAAAAAAGTTGATTTTCTAAATTGATATTTTGGATTTAAATTTAGGTCAGCTTAATTACAAAACACCTACTGAGGTATGAAAAAGTGAAATTTTCAAGGTCGAAAGTCAAGGTCATTAAACTAGGTCACAGATTTGACCTTTCATTCACCTTCAGTGACCTTGAAAAGGTCAAAAAAGTTGATTTTCTAAATTGATATTTTGGATTTAGATTTAGGTCAGCTTGAAATTTTTACAGATGCAAGAGCAGACTATTGCCAAGATCTGATTAGGTTTTGGGTATGCTGGCTGAATGACATGGTGGCCATTTTGAATTTTTCAATTTGGCGGCCATTTTGAATTTTTCAACTTGCTCCAAATTGACCAATTTTTTTTTTTAACAAGATCTACAAGTTCTCAGAAGTTCAAATCTGACCTTAGATTTCAGATTTGACCTTTCGTTGACCTTCAGTGACCTTGAAAAGGTCAAACATTTGATTTTCTAAATTGATATTTTGGATTTAAATTTAGGTCAGCTTAATTACAAAATACCTACTGAGGTCTGAAAAAGTGAAATTTTCAAGGTCGAAAGTCATCAAATTAGGTCACAAACAATGTTATCTAAATTTTCCCAAAGTTCAAGACTACAAATAAATTCTTCATCAAAATTGCAGGAAAACCGCTAACCTTGTCAACTTGAAATGTTTACAGATGCAAGAGCAGACTAGTGCCAAGGTCTGATTAGGTTTTGGCCATGCTGGGTAAATTGCATGGTGGCCAGTTTGCTCTTCAAAGTGCGATATTTATCACTGTGTGTCTTGTTTATTGATATTTCCAACCGATGATGAATTTGAGGGGTTACATCAGGACTTGTTACATGATTATCTTTCTAAATCATGCATCAAAGTAACGATACCTACATGTAGTTTTCTAATTAATTTTTTGGGGTCATACGTTAAGGGGTGGGGTAAGTCCCAATTTTTTAAGCTACAGGTTTGGCCTGATCAAAATTCTTCATTTCACATGTTTGGGTCCAGATACACTAGTGGACTTTTAAAGGTGTTCAAAATTGATCCTGTTAAAGAATGGTTCCCATTATCATTGAACCCATTTAGCTGACTTGCCCAACTTCTATAATAACAAGATCAGGTTCAGATCTGTGTTTTATTGTGTATTGCAGATTACATTTGAGTGTGGCTTAGAGGATCGGGTTGTGAGTGTTCAAGAGGCTGACAGATGCAAGTACGAGTTCAAGTTCTTAACACCAGCTGCTTGTTGAATCATTCCTGAATAACATCCATTTAAAGACTCTAATTTCAAAGCCCTACTACTACAACTGGGACGTGGAATTATTTTATTTAACTTCTGCTAGATTCATAGAAAGTACCTTATGACAATACGCAAAGGGAGTAGAAGGGAGATAAGTTGAAGAAGTTTAAAAATATTGTCACATTTTTGCTTTTTGAATCTTCATTGACTATAATATTTAATTTTGTTAAAAATAAAATTATGATTGTAACGAAAACATAGGCATGATTTTTGAAAAAAACTGCTACCAACATTTTATCGTCTCTTTCCTTTTAGTTCCACTCACTTTAAAGATGAAATTTCCAGATACATATACTGACTTCAATGTCTTGTATAATGATATAATGTGAAGACTAGATGTAATAAATTAACACTTGTCGATCTACATTATTAATTCACTTTTGTGCTCAACTAGAAGTGTTGAAAGTTGAACTTTCCTCATATTCATATCATAATATATTTTTCGAAGGCAATACACTTCACAAAAATCATTGACTACCAAGTATACCCTCAGGACTTTAGGCAATACATAAAGTACAAAAATCAGGAGATGTCAAGAATATATTTGCCTAAAATAATCCTTATGCAGATCAATTGTTAATATTGGCTTCCCACTTTGAATTTTTTGAGGATTTCATAAAAAGTCAAAAGTCAGCCATTGAGGACTTTATTTATGGGCATAGTCTCGTACAATAATTATAGGCTAAATGTTATTGCAAATTGGCTCGAAAAGTGTTGTATTAAGTATGCGGTTGAAATTAAGTATGTTTTCAACCACTTACAGTCCAATAATAAATTATTGTGCCTACACTGCTTTTAGCTCACATGCACTGGCGGATCTGGGGGGGTCCAGGGGCCCGGGCCCTCCCCCCCTTGGGTGGGCCCAGAAAAAAAATTGTGCCCCAATATAATTTTGGGCCAAAAAAGGCCTTAAGGCCCCAAAAAGTGGGCCTTTTTGGTCATAAATGGGCCTTCTAAGGCCTTATTTTTTATTATTAAGCCAAATTTTGAAAAAAATGGGCCTCAAAATTTTTTCCTCGTAAGCAGGGAGGTTTTTTCTCAGATCACAAGTTTTGCCCCCCCCCCTTGTTGGTTCCCAGATCCGCCCCTGACATGGGTAAGATATTGTTATCAGCTACCCATTTTATGTACAATATTATGTCATTATTTAAATAATGTATGTGAAGTGTCATTTTTGTACATTATTCACACCAAAACTGGTGTCTAAGGTGTGTACATTTACAGAAATATGTTAATGTTATTAGTACATGTTTGGTGTAAATCAGTGAATCAGTGAAGTTATTGTGTTTTACGTAACCACTAGAAGTGGTGACATATTGTAAGTCTCCAATTTTTTTTGTGGACTGTGTTTGGCAGTTGGTGTTTGGCAGTCGGAAGTTGGTATTTCACCATCTGAGTTTGTAACTAATGGCAGGTAGTGACATTTTGCATGCTAACGCCTTTTTCACTCTAGTCACAGTCAGACAGTTTTGCTTTCAGTTAAATTCAATTTTGGATAATCACAAACTATGTTTAATTATGGGCTATTAATTTCTGTTTTCCTAATTTTAGATCTTGGACTTGACTACTATTTTTGAACACCATTCAGGGTTGTAGTCAGGATGAAAAATTAGGCTTGGCTTAAGGTTTTATGTATATTACTATCTTTGGTTTTCATTTAAAGAGTTTTATAACATATTTATAACAGGTTGTAGTGGTTATGACCCCCAAGAGGGAGTATTAGGTGCCACATAATCATTATTTACAAGTATTTGTATTGAGTGTATATGCCAACTGAAAATGGTGCCATTAGATTGATCGCATTGATCTCGTGCATTCTAATCTATCGCAGATACCCTCTTTAGCTTTGCATGTAGAGAGTGTAAGAGCTGTGAATAATGGACTTTCCAGCGTTTTGTTATATTAGCAATTGACATGTATTTGTTGCAATTTTGGTATGTCATTAATTTATGTGTTTTTTTTGTAAAATGTACTGTTGGTAAATGTGATTATATCCAAGAGGTGATTGTTGAAATAATATATTTTGTAATTGCTCAAATTGATGTGGTTTGTGGTTTGTTATACTATGCTGAAGTTCAAGAAGGGATGTAAAGAAGCCATTTATCTGTCCAGGCAAAAGCTTAAAGAGAGAATTAGATTTAGCAAGCAGCCTAACAAAAAATTGTTTCAATTTTAGAATATTTCTGGTTTATTTCATTCCTATTCATGCCTATTTTTCTAAAAATTCCCAAAGTGCATACTTTATTTCAGGAAAACTAAAGATTTTTACAATAATGTATTATTTTCTATAAGAATTTAAACATTTTTCATCCATTTTTGCACTTTGGATCCATTTTAACTTCACCAATTTATAACATATCGTGAATCTTTTGGGAGATAGTGTATATGAGGTTGTAAGGAATAGATTGGTATCTCAATTGTACATGTTGCTTGTATTTTTGTCACCCCCTATAGATCTTATTCTACCTTTAAATAGTGGTTTATGGAGTTGGTTCAAATTTTATCATTTAATCATTATCATGAACCACTGTTTTAAAACACAAGACATACATGTATGTCAAAGCAATATTTACGATAACTTAACTTAAAACAATATAGGAATGCATATCATCCTTTTATTATGCTGCATTAATCATGGGATCTTACATAGTTATACAAAAGTGGAACTAAATATGAAAATTAAAAAAATATACATATACATATATAATTATAATATTCAGTGGCAAAATCTACAACACCATCTCACAGCACTATACTTTGCTGTAAATTGGCAGTGTATTATAAAGTGCTCAGAGACTTGACAAAATCTCAATGATAATATAAACATAGAGATTGTCTTACATCTTTTTGTGTGTATCACATCTTCTTAATGTACCTTTCAATACTACATATCTAGCGAAGCATTTGTATGGATGTCAATGGGAAAGTAAACAGGCTATATCTACTGATATTGCCCACTTTCTTTAATAACAATGACAACATCATGACTCATCTCTCGTCTATTCTTCAATGCAAAGGCTATTTCACAAACATGTATAAACAAATATCGTCATGGCAATCACGATTGAGATAAAAGATGGTAGCACAATAGAAACTCCACAGGTGATTGGATCGATGTTTTGACAGTTTGGTAGGTTAGAGTTTGGTGGATGCCACTCTGGTCCTTTGCTTTCCCAATCATGGGCCGTTACACTAGTAGAGGTGCCATTGAAATTGCAACTCACAAAATATCCTATTTTGGCATTCCTGCAGAATAAAGCCAAATGAGCTGCATTGCAGTCGCATGGTATGGGATTACTATTAAGGGTAAGGCTTCTGATACCAGGTTTGCATGCATCAATGAATTTTCGATCAAATTTTGTAATTTTTGATTGATAAAATCGTAATGTAGAAATATTTGCAACACCAGAAAAGGCTTGGCTTTTCAGAATGACGTTTCTCATATCTTCAAATTCAATCCATTGTGTGACATTTGATACATTATTGAAGGCACGAGGATGCACCGTGAGTTTTGTTGATTCATTACTAAATTTAAGTCTGCCCACATTTCTTGTGTTGGTGAAAGCTCCAGTGTGGATATCTGTTAAATTATTTCCGCTGATAAATATGCCACTCTTGGCTTCTCTGATATTCGCAAAAGTGTTCGTATTCACTTCGGTCCAGTTGTCATTTCCTGCTATGATCAAGTCTGACAGATGAAGTTTCCCACGTTCACCATCAAAAGCAAATGGCTCGAAACCACTAAGTGTATTCTGGGTAATTACAATGGATCTAACAGTGCTATTTGAAAATGCATAACTAGGAATAGGACAATTTATGGTACATTTATTTATTTGAATAACATTTTCAGCAGAATAATGATCTCTTCCTCTGAAAGTGTTTCCTCCAAATGCACCTTGGGCTATTCGATCAATTGTGCAGTTATCTAACTCTAAGCTTTCTATTTCAGTTATATCCTTAAATGTACCCCAGGGCAGATACGGCAAATATGTGTCAATTATTGCAATATGTCTAGGCCTAGTGCATCCACCAAATGATATCAGCTCAAGATTTAGTTCTTTTATGTTAACAAAGACAATCTCATTAGCCTCGTCCGATCCCCAGAATGCGCCCACCATATTCATTGGAACATCCTGTTCACCAAAGTAGACACGTATGCCTTTTGTTTGGGCAAATGCATAGATTGCAACTTTACTTAATGGGTTATAGCGCAAATCCACCATGCAATCATCCCATAGAAGCCCAGCTTGTCTATGGCATACTTCATACAGTCCAGAGGGAAATTTTATACCAGTAAATGTATTCTGGTATACTGCTTTAATTTGATTGTCTCGTAAATTCAGGCTGAATATGTTTTCAAGTCCATCAAATGCATATGCATCCAAGTACTTAATATTTGAGCCATTCAGGAGCAAAATCGTCAAGTTTTTCAATGAGTTGAAACTTCTTTCAGTAATTCTTTCAATGTTGTTTCCACTGAGGTCAAGGGCAGTGGTATCAATGGGAATGTTAGTCGGTATAGAGGTGAGGCCTCGTGATCTGCAGTTAACTGTGAGGTCCACACATGAACATGGCCAGGGGCACCCTTGCTGACTTGAGAGTCCAATACAAATAGCAAAAATTGTCAATATCAAGTTGCTTGGTTTGGAGTTCATCATGTCTGCAAAAATAAGTGAAATATTGGTTATTGTTGTTATTTGAAATACTCGTACATAGAAAATTCAGACATTTGATTATATATGACTCTTATGGACTCACTGATGGCATAATGATGTTACATATTAGTCATTGTTAATATACAAAACTAAAACTAGACGTTGACAAAACAATGTCTCGGCCAATCAGGTTAGAGTATTTCAGTACATTAACTTTTATAAAGCCATGATAGTGATAAAGAACCCTGTATCATTCTGTATTGGATTCATGCATCTTGATAATGTACTCGGGCTCCACCCTTGTGCATTATGTGTGTGGTTAGATAAGAAAAGGTGTTATCCTGTAGGCCTAGAGTTTGCATGAATTTCCTACTGTAATGACCTGAATAAAGGACATATCTAGATAGAGGTCCATGCCTGAATGAAATTGTGTACAATTAATTAACAGGTAGTAAGAAGTTCTCTCATATAATACATGTTATAAACATCAATATTTATTTTTGAAATACGAGTGTCCCATTTTTTTGGACCACCCTGTACACATGTACTTAAGGTGCATATGGAACAAAACATTTTTGAAAAATTGCTATACCTGCACATGTTATTTTCTGGTACAAAATAAAATATGAAAACATGGTTGTATTTCCTATTTCTTTCTGGAAAGCATCCTTGTTGCATCTGCTGTTGAACTAGAGAATTATTTGTAGGCAATCCAGTGTTGTTGAGAAACTTGGAGAAGATATTTGGAAAACTGGAAAGGCAGCCATAGCACTCCCTGGAGTTACCAGTGACCGCTTACCAGGTTTATTTTAGAAAACAATGTAATACCTTCCTGGAAAAAGCAAGAAACCTTCATACTTTATTTTGTACCAGAAAATAACATGGACAGATAAAGCAATTTTATTTTAATGTTTTCTGGAAACCAACCATCACCTAAAATACTTACTTATAAAACAGTAGTATATCACAGTGAGTAAGTCACCCCCCTCCAATGTTCTATATTGTATTGTAACTTATACAGAGAATATAAGAGGGAGGGGTGACGTAGTATATATAAATGGTTACTGTTCAATTACAGTAATTCATACTTGCTTATTATCTTCAAATGTGTAGAATCCTTACCTGATAAGTAAGTCGGCTTTATGTAGCAAAGCAGCTTTCTGTACTAAGTAAGGCTAACGGTTGTTTACACTTTTTATGCAGTGGCACTTTCCCAACAGTGATCTTTCTGAAACATGGGAATATCTCTAGATTTCATAGTGCTTCCTTTGTATTTCAAAATCTTAATGATTTCTCAGAAGTACTAACCAACTGTCTGATACATAATGAGTCATAATGTTAACCATGGATTGGCATCAAAATATGCGTTTATCTCCACTAGCTATTTACAATATAGGGATTTATATGTCTCAATAAGTGTTTTCATTTTACTTGTGTTTACATCCTCTTGTCCTTTTGAGAAGAACATTTATGTAGGTTGAGTTTTAACCAATAGAATCATTGGAAATATTTACTGTAGTCCTCAACCTAGTTTATGCTGATGAGGTTATACTAGGTCATCGTGACTCATCATTGATCAGGTTATAGAGTAATTTAATGTCTTGCAAAATGTGAATAAGCAAAAGTAATAAATATTGCAATGTTTATTTCACAAGATTCAATAATGATTGTGGAAAATTTTTTTTTTCAAGAAGGGCAAATAAGGCCATTAGGTACATGTCGATCGAAAACATTTTTGAAAAAATTGCTATACCTTTTCAGGTACAAAATAAAGCATGAAGGCATGATTGTGTGTATAGCATTTTTTCAAAAATGTTTTCATTCCACCATCACCTTAAGTCCCTCCTGTTTATCATTATTATCTGTATAATATTTATGATATATGTTTTTTGGGTCAAATCCCAAAATGTGAGCCATCCAGGAGGTACCTTGCATTGCAAGGGTATCAATTATGTTAGAATTAAGCAAGGTCGATAATCTGGATTGATATGGTTAACACATGTAATCCAAATAATAATATCACCACAATATCTGCCTAATATTATTGCAATATTGCTCCTATCCAATATCCACCCACTATCACTAACTATTCTGATCTAAAAGCAATATCACCCCAATATAAGTACAGCTGTATATTATAATCATAATATCACCCCAATATCAATTCAATATCACTCCAATATCAACCTTTATACAATGAATTCAGTTAACTGTTCTCAATATATTGGGTAAGCAGACTAAATTCTAAAACTACGATTGTATAATTGCACAAAAACAATTTATAATTATTTTTTATTTTGATCAGTGTATTTATTCTATATTTAAAATATATATTATAATCATTTATTCATAAAATTTAATATAAAAAATTATAAAAGCTATATCTCATGTAAAGAGACAATATGTACACTGTATTGTAGGACATATGTAGGATGTGTAGAGTTGCCCATGTTATACATTTTATACTTAAAATCATATATACTTTTAAACTTAATATCAAAACATGGCTAATACCTGTATTATGAATACATGTAACTGCTCAACTGTCAACTGATATAGATTTCTATTTGAAATTCTTCATGAATTTGATTGTCTTGATAAACGACTCATCAATGCATATTTTAGCATGCTATTTAAAAGGCTGTTTTGTGAGCAGGAGTATTTGAGTGATCAAAGTTAACAAAATTGATTATGTTTACAATATTGGTGCAAAATGCATTTTACATCAATGTATAAACATAATAGTCAAGTCTATTACATGTATATATTTCAATTACATTAACAATCACACATCCTCCGAACATGGGGTTCCAGACGTCGTACACTAATATCTGGAGGCCTGCGTTCGGAGGATGCAATCACATTGATTTGTCTTAATCTTTAATAATATTTCAAATAAATTAATATATTTTTATTAAAATTTCAATAACAAAATATATCTGAATTTTTTAATAATTAAGTTATAACTAAAAAAGTGAACTATTTTAATTATAGAATACTGCAATAAAATAGCATGGCATCAACTATAGAATATAATGTAAACATTACATTACTGCATATTAAAACATGCAAAAACTTTATAAACTACAACATGATATACATTAAGTACAGGTACCATATAATATGGATATTATGTTTTACCTAAATAATCACAATTGCATATAATATTATATAAATACATGTAGAGTATATAGTCAACAAAATTGATTGTGCTTTATTGATAGTGCTTAGTTTGATTGTTCCAGCACAATCCAAATATGGACTATAGATGATAAGTACTTTCATCTAATCAATCACACTTTGTAAATGCATATTGTCCCAAAAAACTGTATGAGACAAACATAGAACAACTCTGGGAGCAGTAAATGAATATCCTTGCAAACTAATCATCTGAAAAACAATTTAATTATCATAAATATCTGACATTTTCACCAGGTGACTCTTTTTAAGAGAAAAGCTTGTTTTAGTACCATCAGTCATTATTCCAATGTCCAGCAGTGCATCCAGCTCTGCATCAATCACACAATGGAGGTTATTTAAAGCATGTTATCTAAATTAATCCCTCATTAATTTACAAATGCCTATGAATTTTAACTACTTATTGGAAAATGAATTCTCTTTATCGTGTGAAAAGTTCAGTAACGGAAAAAAGAGTTATACCCATTTCATTTGGGTACAATTTTTAGGACACATGTGAACTACTTGTATGTATACATATATTACATGAGAAAATATACATTAATTCAGTAATGAATAATTAACTTTGCAACAATTATATTTTAGCTACCTGACAAAGAAAATACTTGGAAAGTAAATAAAGAGTGAGTCTTTAGTAGTGACTCATATTTAGAGTTTATACATTAATAATCAAAAAGGCAGTGTCTGCCATCCTGATCCCTCACCTCAAAATCTTTTAATTTGAAATTACTCCCAAAATCAACAGACAAACAACAGGTAAATCCTTCTTTTCTAAAAATATTAAAGCTTGAGAAAAGGTTAATATCAAAGTATGTATATTATCATTATGAAATTGTGGATTTTGGGTAATTATGGATAGGAACTTTGCATTTAAAACACTAAACAAATTCTAGAATAATGACAAAACTGCATAATACAGTGTAGTAGAATTTGCTGACCGAAAATATAAATAAACATTTACACCAGATTTACATGTTATGCACCATGATTAACATGTTGGAAGTATCACATATTAGAATCTTCATATACTTTTCTCTTTTTTCCTGAATACAAAGGAGGCCTACTGACTTCAAGACACTGTTGAGAGAGCACTGTTGTCTCTCAATTCTCTTTTGCTCAGTTCGTTAAAATAATTGCCAAGTGCATAGTTTTACTAGTCTAGCTCCATTTTACTAGTCTAGCTCCAAGCCTCAGCGACGCCCCCCCCCCATTACTTAACTTAACACCTTCTCACACAGTGGGGAGGTGTGTGGGGGGTCACAAGGGCTTGTAGCTAGACTATAAATTCTCAAAAATTTGAGAAATTGTATACATTAACTATAAAGGTAGAGTACGTAATAAAGATTTGAAGCTGTTGCTCTCCCTTAACTTCATTCCTAGACTCTTCCAGTTTCAATGGATTCATCTAGGGTAGTGCTGTCACAGTCATGTAGGTTTATGGACAATAATATGATTTATGTAAAATATACAGTATGCATAGATATACCATATACTCTCTAAAGAGTGCTCATCCCTCAAAGATCACACATGCGACTTTTATGACAAATATGGTGCATTTCAGAAATATTGAAAATTGACTGACCAGCAAACAAGACTTTAATCCTTTTCCTGTAGGGCTTTGAGGTTTTTTGATACCTTCTTGATTACATTGCATGGGAGCTGTAGAGAACCTATTGCATAGTGATAACGACTAAAAAAGAAGTTTGGACAATATATTGATCAAACATGGTTTGTACTATGGGGCTTCAAGAGAGTGTTTGTACTGATGTGCAGTCTTTAGAATTTGTCAATATTTCACTAGTTTCAATGTACATTTTGGGAGGGGATTGTGCACTTTTTACAGAGAATATGGTAGTTCATTTAGGAAATCACGGTTGCTATACTGCAAAACATGACAACTTTAGCTGAAACAGAAGTCCCGATATGATGAGCTCTAAAAGTTCTATTCTGTGTGGCTCAATGGAACATACATGTCAGTCTGTGGGCCTTCAACTGAAAATATTACGCAGTCGATGCCCTCCATATTGCAACTTTCCCGTCTTCACTCCCAGCTCCACTCATAATGTATCTATTCTGTGCTGTACACATAGAGCGTACAGAGTCATTGTGAGCCTTTAGCTGCTGCTCTAGCAAATGGTTACTGCAATTGAAGATGTAGATGAAGCCAGATTTAGAGCCAACCCAAACCTAGAACAAGAAATTATTAAATTTTAGACAAAACTGGCCAACTATTTCTTAGGATCCTTGGGGCATTGAGTTTTTGCTTGGATAATCAAAGTATCCTTAAAGGCCCGTGCAAAGTTTAAAAGTATGTTTTTATCATTCATTTACTATTTTTCATGACTTTAAATTCACATTATTCCATACAGCAGATTATCCATATTTAATTATTTATTACCTTATTCTGTACTAAGACCATCTTACTGATCCCCCTACACTCTACTCTTGACTGTCTGATCTCTTCAAATGTCTCTTGATCCCATATAGTGATCAGTCCCTGTCTGCCACAACCTGTCCATACCTAAACATAGAACACATAGTGATCAGTCCCTGCCACAACCAGTCCATACCTAAACATAGAACATATAGTGATCAGTCCCTGCCACAACCAGTCCATACATTAACATAGAACATATAATGATCAGTCCCTGTCTGCCACAACCTGTCCATACCTAAACATAGAACATATAATGATCAGTCCCTGTCTGCCACAACCTGTCCATACCTAAACATAGAACATATAGTGATCAGTCCCTGTCTGCCACAACCTGTCCATACCTAAACATAGAACATATAATGATCAGTCCCTGTCTGCCACAACTGGTCCATACCTAAACATAGAACATATAGTGATCAGTCCCTGTCTGCCATAACCTGTCCATACCTAAACATAGAACATATAGTGATCAGTCCCTGTCTGCCACAACCTGTCCATACCTAAACATAGAACATATAGTGATCAGTCCCTGTCTGCCACAACCTGTCCATACCTAAACATAGAACATATAATCATCAGTCCCTGTCTGCCACAACCTGTCCATACCTAAACATAGAACATATAGTGATCAGTCCCTGTCTGCCACAACCTGTCCATACCTAAACATAGAACATATAATGATCAGTCCCTGTCTGCCACAACTGGTCCATACCTAAACAAAGAACATATAGTGATCAGTCCCTGTCTGCCACAACCTGTCCATACCTAAACATAGAACATATAGTGATCAGTCCCTGTCTGCCACAACCTGTCCATACCTAAACATAGAACATATAGTGATCAGTCCCTGTCTGCCACAACCTGTCCATACCTAAACATAGAACATATAGTGATCAGTCCCTGTCTGCCACAACCTGTCCATACCTAAACATAGAACATATAATGATCAGTCCCTGTCTGCCACAACTGGTCCATACCTAAACATAGAACATATAGTGATCAGTCCCTGTCTGCCACAACCTGTCCATACCTAAACATAGAACATATAGTGATCAGTCCCTGTCTGCCACAACTGGTCCATACCTTATCATGAACGTATCAATCTCCACCTAGAACAACTATTGTGATCAGTCCCAACTGGGACAAAAAGAGTAAAACAATGAATAAATCGACCATTTTGGTTTCTCTTTAAAACATCACTTATTTTTTATTGTCAGCTTCAAATTATGTGATACTGTCTAGCTGACATTTTGATTTTACACAGATTCAATCTCATGAAATGGTAAGTATTGTTATTTCTTCCAGCACTAGCCAAATATCACAAATTCAGGTACCTCTTTATGTGGAGTGATAAGAAAGCAGTCTATTGAGAGGGTATATTTGGCTTCATCTGTACAGTGGAGTCTCTTGAGTATCCCTCCTGCCTCTGTTACCACAATGATCCTCTCCTTTGTACCTATATTCATGTACATACAGTTAAGGTGAGTTGGGTGAGCCAAAGCTATTGACCATTTAGGCCAACCCTACTGGGCAGATTTTTATTGGTGCAATTATGCTGAATGTTAAATATCTATTTAATATTAGATCAACTTTTCATGCATTTAACTTGTGAAGAGTATGACGTTACATTATAGGTCTGTATATAGGTTTTTACATGTGTATGTACAGAATACATACCACACCACAAATTGCCATCGACCCACTGTATTGTAGAGAGACATTGTACAGCTAAATTGATTTGGTACATGGACTGTAGTTTCTCAGTGTCCCACACCAGAATCTGTCCATTAAGGCTGGCAGAGAAAGCTGTCCTAAAAGATGAAGCAAATTGGTTTAAAGGCAGAATCAGATCTATGGGGGTGAAAAAATTACAAGCAATGTGTACAATTGACCTACTTATCTATTCCTTACAATCTCAAATACAATATCTCCCAAAAGATTCATGATATGTTAAAAATTGGTGAAGTTATCATGGATTCAAAGTGCAAAAATGAGTGAAAAATGTTCTCCCAAAATTCTCCCAAATAATAAGAATGGTAACCATTCTTATAGAAAAATAATAGGTTATTGTAAATATCTTTAGTTTTCCTGAAATAAAGTATGCACTTTGGTGCAATGCAATTTTTTGTTGGGCTGCTAGCTAGATCTGATTTTCTCTTTAATATTTGAAATTATATTGATGATTTTTGATATGTGTAACATATAGTTCATTATTCATTATTCGCACTATTTTTGTCATTTTCAGGTGTACACATTAGGAAAACCTGACGGGTCATTTTGGTTAAATGTGGTTATTAACTGAAATATTACCATACCTATGGTCTTTACTAACTGTGATGTCAGACAACATATCAGTGTGCTCCATGAGAGACTGGTTAGACGTGACAGTGGCAATGTCAATGACGTAGATTGTTTTGTCAAATGAGCCAGCCCAGATTTGATTCTCTCCTACTGCAACCAGACATACCTGAAATATAGAGCCAAATAACATTGAACACTTGGGGGGGGTGGGGGGGGGGTGAGGGGCAGAGACTTGATCTCCCTCACGTTCTTTTGTTGTTTAAGAACAACATTCATTCATTCTATAATATAAATTATCTTTTTCTTCTCAAGATCACCCATTGTTATATTTAGTATTTTGCTTACTAAGCACATGCAGAAGATTGTAGACATAGAACACATCAAATTCTGATCTCAAACTAACACACTGTCACACAATGTTGACACACAATAATAGGCACTTACCACTCTGCCTTTAGCCTGTGTGAACTTAGCCTGTAGAAGCCATGTGCTAGCATCATAGACTAGTACTTTGCCACTGCCCATGGCACACCATAGCTTGGGACCTAGTTCTATTTCACTATCAGATTCATTGCTAGACCCACTCTTGTCTAAAAATACACTAGAACCTTCAGTGACGGATCCAGAAATTAACAAGAGGGGGGGGGGGCTTAAATTTTGAGTCTGGAAAATATTCCACTCCCAATGTCACACTCATTGGCTAATCATAGAAGTTTATATATTTCTATGTATTAAATTATGTTTTAAATTATTCAGTTAATTCTTACCAAATTCTTACTTTTGATTCTAAATACTGCCAATTCTTAGCTTTATTTTGGTAATTTCTGTTCATTTTACAATCTGAAATTAAGTAATTAATTGCCTTACTTCCTGGAGTGTACAGGAGAGCCTCGATGGCTTTCTTGTCCACTTCCCGGACATTAGGGTTGATCCGGTGCTGGAGAACATGCTTTGTATCTGGGGGTAGCTTGTCTACTCCATCCTCCTTCCTGCGTGTGAAGTAACAGAGATAGGAGGCTGCTCTCTCCACTGATGTATGATGGGAACAGCAGTTCTCCTCCCCACTGGAATGGGATTATTAAAGCTTTTATATAAAATTTCAACAAAATCGCTCATATACTTTTCCAGTTATAGTAAAAAAACACAAGGGATTAACATGACAAAATGTCACCACCTTGTTGCTCACAATATTATGAGTTCATTCTTAGGTTAGGTTTGAATTTATGAGAACTTGTAGATAATTTTGAAAAAATAAATTGCTCAATTTGAAGCAAATTGAAAAAATACCTTTTTACCTTGAGAAGGTCATTGAAGGTGAAATCACAGATCTTAAGTCAGATGTGAACTTCTGAGCACTTGTAGATGATTTTTTTAAAAATTGGTCAATTTGAAGCCAAATTTTGACCTTGAGAAGATCATTGAAGGTCAAATTTATACTAAGATCTGAATTTCTGAGAACTTGTAGATGATTTTGAAAAAAGGTAAGTTGAAAAAAGACCTTTTTTACCTTGAAAAGGTCATTGAAGCTAAAAACTCAAATATAAAGACAGATTTGAACTTCTGAAAACTAGTAGATGATTTCGAAAACAATTGAAGTCAGTCAAATCAGTATTTGTTAAATTATTGAAGTTGTAAGAATTTGTTACAGATGGCGATAGCCAACCATCAACCACCAACACGAGTCAAAAAAGGTGACTGTAACAATATGTCACCATTTTTTGGTGGTGGCATAATAAAATAACACACGTAACCACTTAAAAATGGTGGCCATTTTATCAATATGGCTGCTCACTTGCCAAATTCTCATGTGAAAGTGGAATATACTTTATAAGTAGTCACATATAAAATATCAACAAAATTGCTCCACTGCCTTTTGAGTGAAAGTAAAAACTTAAACACTTTCAGTCCATTGAACATCAGCCTTGTATTGGGTGAGCCCAGAGAACCTACACTAAATTACTTATCAAGATACACAAAAACAAACTATTAGAGAGGGCACTGACCTTCCCATTAGACACTTTTTCTTGATAACATACAGTACCTGCGAATGACAGCATCCACTAATAGGACATTCTGTGCTGCCTGCTGAACAATCCCAGGATCCCTCAGCTCCTCTGCAATAACCTTCCCAGCAGCCATTTCAGTAACCAGCATGCACCAGCAGTTTCTCTCCTCCTTTAGACATGCAACAAATGGTGGGCACTCAGACACTGAAAATGTTGGAGTATTATTATCCAGTAATATGCCAGAATACAGGGTGTCCTAAAAATGCAACCCTCTAATTTTTGATTGATTTTCTCAATTAAATGGATTTTTCTTGATGAAAGCTCTTATTTTGATAGAGTATTCATTATGTGAACATTGGTATACTTATATTTCACTTTGAGAACTATAGAAAAATCAAAATTTCCTGCCTATGCATGCTTTTTCGCAAATTCGATCAACTTGAAAAATAGTTATGAGGAACATGTCATTGTGGTGATACATGTATATTATATTTTTCCTGGGGTAATCTCAATATACTGAAGCTCACATAGGGTAATTTCTATGCAATACCTACCCTTGGAATACACCCTGAGAGCCTCTACCCCTACGAGGAAGGACATCTGCTGTATCTTCTCTAGCGATGAGATATCTCGCAGTTTGATGATTTCAACAAACTTCTTGGAACCCTCCTGTAGGAAGAATAGTCTGGAAGTAGAAAGTTCATTATTCAACCTTTGACCTTTATGGTGACCTTGAGCCACACTATTGACCCTGTGTCTCCTTGACCAATTTGATATTAGACCTTGAATTAGACTATGAAAGGGGTATGGTCTATGGAGGGCTCCTGTTATATTATCTAAAAGCTTTGGTATGAATTTGGGGTTCAAGGATAATCATGTTACATGATGTAGTTCTTATAGCATTCACATACCAAATATGAGCAAAATTGCTTCACTACTTTTCAAGTTACAGCAAAAATCGTATAACAGCGTGTAAAGACCGCCATTGTTCAAGATGGCTGCAACTTTTTTACATTAAAAACCTAGTGTTATTACAGTTTTATGTAATGTACCTAAATTACTTAAAATCAGCACTAAAACGGCCACCATTCTTAGACGAGCAGCCCTTTTGAAAATTGGCTCTCGAGCGGAACTTCTACCCCTATAGGGCATATGTGAACAAAATATGAGCAAAATCAGGCCAATGGTATTTGATTTATCGCCCGGACAAATGGACGTATGTACGTACGGACCTATGTATGGAGTATGGATAATGATCTATTTAGAAAGACTACAACAGACCAATAGTGATATGTATTTACTTCATACAAAAATGCCTCCTTCATTTTTTATGCCTTTTTATGTCACCACCAAAAGTGGTGACATATTGTTATGGTCTCCGTTTTTGTGGGTGGCAGTTGGCAGTTGGCGTCTGTAACAAATACTTACAACTCCCAATAATTTAACAAATACTTTTTAGACTGACAACAATTTCTTTCAAAATCATTTACAAGTTCTCAGAAGTTCAAATCTAATTTTAGAATTTAGATTTGATCTTAAATGACCTTCTCAAGGTCAAAAAGGTCAACTTGCTTCAAATTGACCAAATCTTTTTTTTGATGACTGCCATGTATTCCAATGGCCGAGCATTTATGAATATACACAAAGACCACTGTCTACATAATGCTATCCACCAGTTATCAAAATTCATTGACAGTAATGTATTGGAAAACTACTTAAAAAGATATGGATGTTAAAGTTATTCAAGTGTTTCAATTTTTGTATGTCTCAAAAAATTAACAGGAAGCCAAACATTTTGCAGATGAACTTGAACATGAAAATTAAAAATAAAGGCTTAAAACATGTAGTGTACATGTTGTATGTAACACAATTTGACGAATGGAGAGTGTAAATAATGAATTCAGCAGAAAAAACCTTTTCTGTGTTAGAGCCAGTCGTCCAGTCCCTCTGTCACATTTCATCATATTAGATACTTTCAATATGCACTCGTTTGGATCTAAGAAGCCTTCAGGGGGGTGCACTTCCCTGCATTGAACCTCATTCTCCTTCCAACACTCATACAGCATCTCAAATGTAACAGGGTCTACATCTACATAATAAAATCAAAAATAAAAATTACTTGTATAAATATGGCAACATACCATAGTATGGCATTATTTAGTTTGCGAATATGCTCAACATAATTCAATTACCTAGTCATAAGAAGATAGTTACGAGTTTCCTCACCAGGTGACTAACTCGCTCGGGTCAGAATATGTAAGACATACAAAGAGTTCCCCTAGACTTGAAAAATTAATTGATATAATTGATGAATTTTCATATATTAATCCTTTTGAGTTTATAATATTATACTGCTGAAAATTAAATGTGTTTAGTAAAAAAAAAATTACATAAAGCTGTTCAATACAAGAAAACATCATTTCGACTTGCTTCTAGTCTATTTAATGATTCATTATTTACATGTATTCTAAAAACATATTAATGGCCCCTAGTTTGCTTACAGTCTTGCTTTCCAAGAGTGAGAGACTCAAACAGGCGCACTATAGTGTCATAGTCAGCAGCTATCTCAACTATCTGGATGGCTTCATAAAACTCATTAAAATCTGAAATAAAAAATTGCAAATACTGTAATACAATTTAAACTACAACTGTACAATGGCTGGACCCAAAACTAATGCAATACGCTTTTTTCATAATAATAGCTAATAATGATATAAAATATATAGACTAAATGAGATTTTTGACATTCAGGTGATACATACAGCACTCTAAAAAATAATTACTTAAGTTTGTATTATCTTTGTATTCACAAGTAATTTAATTACTAGGTCAGGTAATTGTTTTTGTCCCAAAGGGTTTTTCATTTTTGTAATTATATTACTAGCATAGTATTATTTTGACTGAATTACTATATTGAGTAATTAAAAAATTACTTGAATTATAAATAATTATACTTATTAAGTAATTATTTTACTCTATTCTATAAGTAATTGTTTTGTTCCAAAGGGTATTTTATATTTGAGGATAACATTACTAAGTAATTATATTACTTAAGTATTGAAATTACCTAATTAGAAATTGAATAATAACTTTTTTTCTTTTTTTAACTTGGCTAGGATTTATTTACATATTATCAAGAGAATTCTTTTGTTCTCAAGTTTCCACATATGTCCATGATTACATGCAGCACTTTGAACAAATTGTAACCTTACTTTTGGGGACCAGACCTAATAGTTAACTGAATACCACAAAATAGAGTTTGTCTTATTAGGTTAATATCAAATAGAGTTAGCATTAATTAATTGTATGTTAATCAGCTTCACATAAAATTGACATAGTTCTTTGCAAATTTATAATTTTATAATTTTGTTACAGTTTCTTTTAATAAAGAATTAAATCTTGATTTTAAAAATATTAAAAAACATGATATCAAACTACATTAAGTAATTTAATTACTATTTTAAAAATTTAGAATACTAAGTATTAGAATTACTCAGTATAATCTTATCATTTTATTGCAGTTAAACATATTAATTCATTAACATTGCTATTGCTATATAGTAATTTAAATATCAAAAGATTACTCAGTAACGTATTTCCAATTTAATACAATTAAACTTAGTAATTCCTTTACATTGCTGGTATTATCATATTTCTATAAAGTAATTCAAATATTAAAAAGATTACTCAGTAATGTATTTTGAATTTAGTGCAATTAAACATTTATTTGGTACCATTTATTTACATTGCTAGTATTATAATATTTCAATATAGTAATTTGAATGTTAAAAGAATGACTAAATAATGTATTTTCAATTAAATGCTATTAAACATAGTAATGCATTTACATTGCTAGTATTACTATTAATGAAATGTTAAAATGCAAATGGGGAATAAAATTACCTAGTAATATTATTACTTTTATATGCAAATAAAACAAAAACAGAAACAATTTATTTACAAATAAAGTATTACAATTACTAAAGTAAGTAATTCACACAAATAAACAATTACTAAGTAATATGATTACATTTTAGGTGACACAAGTAATTTATAAATTACTTAGTAATCAATCAAATTACTTCAGCTAGCTGTCAAGTAATATTTTTTTAGAGTGAGTACAGCAATATGTATTAATGGAATGCTATCTGTAAATGATCCAAAAACAGCAGCAAATCCCACTGAACAAAAAAAAATATATCAAATCACTCTTCATTTTGAACATGTCATGTAAACCAGGCAGATGTAGTCTCAGTTTGGCTACAGTGGGATAACTATGGAAGCAGGAAAATTCATATTTCGATATTCCAATACATGATCAAAACACAATATGATACTATACTATGAAAATTATTAATACAAGGTTAAAGCTTACCAATGTCAGTCTGCGGTATACCACCAATATCTATGTGAATACTCTCAATATGAGAAGCTTCATCATCTATCTTCCTAAATAATGCCGACTTGCGGTAAAATTCTGATTCTGTTAGTTTGCTTTTCTCAACTGTGGACATTACTGAGAGGACCTTTCTGATCACCCTGTAAGATGCAATAACAGAGAAATACTTTTTAGATAAATATTTTAATTTGAGAGAATATACAGAAATACAGGTAATTAGGCTTTTACATATTAACCTTCTGTTTGGCACTGCCTATTGGTTCATCCCAAAAGCTTCATGGTCAAACCTTTTTTCTAACCATGTTAGATTTTCAGTTGGCATGTTGTTTTGCCATTAAAGATTAAATCGAAAATGAAAGAACATGGCCATATTTTAACATATTGTACTGTAACACATTGGTTCTGCACTGAATTAAGAATATAAAACTCATTCTGGACAAAACTGAAAATCCGATTACACCAGTTGGCAATTTTGGAATCACGAAAATTGTGATATTTTTTCTGAGTCAGGATAGGTAAAATAAGAACTTTGTTCTTAAAGGAGAACAAAGATCCACTGATACACAAAGAAAACAGGGAAATAAACATATAACAAATACATGCTAAATTTTATAGCTATATAAAAATTCAACGTAAATTAAAATATTTGAAGCTAAAAATCAGCTCAAATGCATGCACTGACTGTCTAGGAAAGAGGCGAGTATCATTAGCTGAGAGGTTGTAGAAATCTTCTAGGCCTTCTACAGGGCGACCACAAGCTACACGCAGCATGCCACGCAAATACAGAAGTGGGGCTCTTAGGGATGGCAGCTTACTGGTCTGAAACACACAGACAATGTTGCATACATACTGGACATCAAAAAATCCATTATGGGCTGAAAACTATGAAAATATGTTGGCTCTGGATTAATAATTGTACGAGGTGTTTCATGTATAGTACAGATTTTTTTAAATATTGATACTTACATTTGAACTATCTATCGAATCCTACGCTAACCCTATCAATCTAAATAACATTACTTACTCTCATTTGATGATGCAGAAGGTAATGTATTTATATGCAAATTTCCTATGAGTTGATAAATATAGTTTCAATTTGTTTCCTTAAGCTTTATACTGTTCCATCATATGATTACAGGCCGGTGAATATTTTAAAATATTTATAATAGTTATCTATATTTACGTATAATTGAAATGTAATTGTAAATGTATTCTGTATTTTATATCATTGATCATAAAAAGTTTATCAAAACTAACAAGCTATAAGGTGCCTCGTTATGAGCCTCGTACGGGCAAGTACTTGGGTTGAAACAGCAATTACGGACCTCGTTACGGTCATGGTCATTTAAAATGATAAGGCTGATTGTCGCATTACTCAGGTCATTCACCTCATAACATAATACAAAATAATACATGCAATGATGTAAGCAATGGGCACAGCATAAAAGACAAGACACTGACATGCAAAATCTCACTCCCTGCCATTTGTTACAGATGCTGACCACCAAAATATGAACACCATGCACATAAAAGTTGGAGACTATAACAATATGTCACCATTTTTGGTGGTGGTGAGGTAAAAAAAAAAAAGTTAAAGTTTGCATTAAGACTGGAGATCTAATAATTGTTGAACAGCCACTGGACAGTAATGCATTCTTCTGACACATTGATATTCATCTATTTCAGTTTAATTTCACCATGTGGTGATAAAAAATGAAAAGGAAATGTGGTGTGAAAAATTAATCCCCATAATATACTGACCAACCACAGGTTGTAAAACGGACATGCCACCTCTCGCATGCTTTTTAATATGGACTTTCTGTAAGTCTGTTTTTACACTTCATTGTTTAAAGTCATAGAATAAAAGAAAACAATGCTACATATCTTTTCTTAAGTTTAAAGGTGCAACAATTAGACCAGTGTCAAAATATATTTAAGTTTGGATATTTCATCAAGACTAACATATATTTTTATTATCTAGAATGAAACCCTCTGGATGAACATTATTTCAGCTGATATTCCTCTTGAAACGATCTTAAAAATCTCCCTTTATAGAAACTTTGGACTAAATTTACACTTCTTAATACTGAAATTGAGAGTTTATCCATACATTTTAAGAAAATAGGTATGCCAAAGATGTTAAGCCAAATATTGACCTGATAGCTCAGAAAAAATAAAAATTTCCCATTTTCTCTCTACAGTCCTTGTTGCCCCTTTAAGTTAAGTTAACTGCATATCTCACCTCCAGCTTAATGGAAATCTCCTGACAAGATCTCTCGTAAAAGCCATCTGTGTTTTTAAATTCAGGGAGATGAAATATGGTGGTTACACCTGATGTTGAATAGATGAGTTTAGTGGGGTCCGCAACTGAGACACAGGAGGATGATGAACGGCGCTGTTTTAACAGTAATGGACGAATTCTGAAAATATGTACACATTTTGAAATTTCATACAGTAAAACTCTCTAAAGTGAGGGCTGGTGAGGGCAGCTCAAGATTGTTCACATTGAGAGGTGTTTACATATTCGCATATACTGTACACTATGCATGTTTTGTTTAATGTTGAGATATTGCAGTGATAGAAATAAACACACTCATATGTTTGTATCAGAAAAAATGCTTTGTTAAAAATTATTGTTAATACACTATTCTGAAAAAATGACAATATACAGGGTGATCACTAAGTTCTGGGAATTGGTCTGTCATTTCAATATTTTTCAACCAATTCAGTTGAAACTTCCAGCAAATGTACATAGTATAATTCTGAATTGACAGAGAATGTTTCATATACATATCACTTTTACAATTTACTTTATTGTAATTATAAAAAAAGTAAAAGTGGTCTACGGGTCAGCAAATTTTGACTGCCGTTAATTTGAAAATATTCTGCTAAAACATTATCATCTTGCCTAGATGGTTGGTTCAAACTTATTGTACTAGAGGCAGAACAGTACTCTTGTAGTCATTTATTCAGAAGTATTCTTCATTGCTGGGAGGATCATTTCATTTATAATGATTTCCATAGACCTGGATGCCCATGCATTGTCAAACCTACTGTAGTCCATAAAGTTCTTTCCAGTCCTCCCTTTGGTATCCCTTGAAAATTTGCTCAAGCTGTTGAGATCAGTCCCTCATCGGAACAAAACTTATGATGATCTCTCATATGCTGCTTCAACAGTCAAATTTAGTGAACTTAATGGTGGTTCATCTGGTGAACATTATATGGTGAATATGGGGCATGAACAACTTGTGTGAATCCTAAGTCTTCAAGAGTGGTATGGGCAATTTGAGGAGTGGGAAGAAGCATAGTTATAATGGAAGATAACTCCCTGGTATTTTGAGTCATGATTGTGACTTTGAGAGTCTGACCAATGATAAGAAAATTGCGCAAAGTACACTCTTGTATCACAATACAGATGTTACTTTAGAAACTAAAGTTAGAAATATTTGAAAACATAAAAAATCACAGAAATTTGTCTACCAAATAGGTATTAATTAACCATACTTTTAGCCATACTTTCAAGTAAATAAAAATGAATTCAAGTTTTGCTTGACCCGCTACGCCATTTGTCATGTTGCTATAGTAATAATAATTATTCCATTGAGACATCATATGACAATGAGACTGTTTTATCCAACCCAAAATTATATTCTCCATTTACCTTGAAAATTTCAAGTAGATTGGTTGAAAAATAATGAAATGACAGATAAACTCCCAGAACTTAGTGATCACCCTGTATTTATTATAAAATAATCAATTATATAATCTTTTATTAGTTCTATATTGTGTGTAACCACATGGTGAGAAATTTAGTTGGGAATCTCGACAAAAAGGCTACTTACAATTCAGATTTATCGTTAACTCCTTGTAAAGAATTTCGAGCAACTGGACGTGTCTTTTCCTCAAACTCTACCCAAGAGTCTCGTTTGTCATTCATTCTGTCCCTCAGGAACTTGTTGAACATATCTGAGTTTACCACCTGGGGAATATCATATATACACATCAGGATATGCCATACATAAGGTGTTAAATAAGGGTTATTTACTGGGAGGTTTTGGATATGGGGTTTATCCAGAGGGAGATATGCCTATCTACCTGAGGGACCTTAGGGACCGAAGGTTGATGTGCATATCTCACGAGTGATGAACCCTATATCCAAACCGACCGTACATAACTGCTTTATCCTATACCAAGTAGAGTTTTCAGCGAAATTAGCGGAAGCTGGAAGACGTGCACCGAAGCGGGAAGATATGCACCGAAGCAGGAGATATGGCGGGAGATATTGAGGTCCTGGATATGGAAACCTCAAAATCAGGATATGGGATATATCTAACCAACTTATCTCCCTAAAACTCTACTTGGCATAGGATAAGGGGTTATATACTTGGAGGTTTTGGATACAGGGCTTAGAGGAAAATATACAAACAGACTGTACGTAACAGATGCATCCCATATTAACTGAGATTCTTGATACATCCACCTTCAAAGGTTCCAAAAATTAAAATGATTTTATCATGTTCCCTTATGTGTAATAATCACTATCAATGTTTGTTAATTTTGATTCTTCTCCTGGGTTAGAATTTAAAAGGACATAATATAGGAAATAATAAAAATTTCAAGGTATTATTAACAGAGTTCAAATTACAGTAATGCAATCAATTGTCGTAATTGACAGACACATTTTTTGCAGAAAATGAGTAAGGTACCCGTTAATCACATCATTTACATTTCATTTATTGATCTTGCTTTTGCAGTTCTTAAATAACTTTTATTCCAAATGTTATCATCTGAATATACAAGTATAATTGTTTTGTGTATTATTGTTGGTCAACAGTGTGTATGATCTATACCCAACTGCCCCTCAAATGCCCTGTAAAGGCAGGACAATGGTGAAGTATCCAATGCACGATTTATATACAGTAAAACCTGTACATCTAAACACTTGGCTAATCATAACACCTCCAAATCTGAACAGTTTTGTTTTTTCCTCCAACTGACTCCCATGTTCAGTGCAAGAGATCTTGAAATGTGAACACCTCCTAATTTGAACAATATACAGTTATATTTGGAAAAGTAGCCTGTCTGATAAGACCAATAAAATATCACATGTGATATTCAAAATCGCTTCATCGTTTTTTAAATTACTTTTAAAGTCATAAACTATTCAAGTTATAAAAATAAAAAAAATAAAAAAATGAAATAAAAATCATAAAAATCTAAATTATCTAAAGATAAGGGATGTTTTACTTTTTGGCATTGACCGAAACGTAATTACAAGACTAAAGGGTAAATCGAGCTAAATATATTTAAAGATTATGTTTAAAATTTTCTCCAAAATTATGAATTCCATGAACGCAAAAATCTGGAAATCTAAACACCTCCATAATCCAATAGATCTTAGCAGGTCTAAATGGCATTCGGATTAGAAAGGTTTAACTGTATATCAATAAGGCATATTTGGGACTAGTAAGCAAATATAATTAAACAGATAATAATTTTATTATATTTGGCAAGGGTTGACCTCTATATGCTTTACTACTTTAGTATAAAGATCGGAGCAATATCAGGTATATAATAGCGAGTGATAAATCATGTATTCGGGGTCGGGATGGATATCGGGATGATATTGGGATAATATGAATATCAATCATGTACATGTATGTATATGTAATATTTCAAAAATTCATTTATTGTTTTCTCATCCAACAGAGGTTTTTTGAGGTAGATAAAGTATAAGATCATTATTCACATGCCTCATGATTCAGAAAATATCCCTCAGATTATATTGAAATTATCCTGAGGGAGATTAACACATTTCTCACCAAAGTACTATGAAAAATGAACCGAATATTCTCTGATGGGGGGGGTGTATAGAGGGTCTTGAAAATGCATATACAATATTTTTCAGCTCTCTTATACCATATACAATATTTTTTCACCCCTTTTATACCATATACAATATTTTTCACAGCTCTTATACCATATACGATATTTTAGGTGAAATACAATATACGATAATTTTGAAGGACTGCTTTTGATTAAAGTTTGGAGATTTATAAGGAAATAATATTAGGAGAGAATCCATGTACTAAAGTAAATGTATTATTATAAGGGAAATAGACTCCACATACATATCACAATGATTTCATTTATTACATTATGAATAAGACACCATTCAAGTACATCCGCATGTTCAGAAAAGCTGTGACCACATTTTATTTTCAGGTAAACAAGTTGATTTAAAACACATTTATGATATAAGATTCATGACTTATCTTTAGTGATTTCTCAACCTACTTTGACCAAAAAACTAACTTTAACATTTCTGCAATTTGTAAAGCAATTAGCCCATTACCTGTAAAAGTACCATAAAGATATTCAAAATTAGCACAAAACCTGCATCATTGGAATGGGTGGAACTCAGTGTTCCTCTTTCTTATGACCTACTTTCCCATGACTTAATGTCAATGGAATCCTTCATAGTGAGCCAGGGAAAAAAATCCTTGAAACATAATTGATGCAAAATTGAGAATGTGGAATAAGAGATTCATCATATGTGTTCTATGAAAATAAAGTTTGCTGAGGAAAATATGTGTCAGATAGGTAATGAAGATTCACAATGCACAATGATTTTGTAAAGCAGTTACCTGAAAATATAAAGTATTGAAAACAGTTTCAGAAATAAAGGAGCACAAACTTCCATGTAGATAATTCATTTTTGATTGGACTCGAGTCTGGAAATTAGAGTTTGAAATAAAGGCAAGATGAGACTTGATTGGTTAAACATTTGAAAGAGACACTTCGGGGTTTCAGATAAGGCAGCCTTAAAGACATTATAAGTTAAACAAAGGTGTGTCAAAATTAAGCAAATTTCCATAAAGGTCAAACCACATGTTTCACGAATGATTTCAAGGCAAAGATGTATTGATGAGAATGAAAACTACTCTATGTAACTAGAAATAACTTTCTTTTAAAGGACCACAGACGGTATGGCAACAGATTTCAGTCATATATTGGATTTTGGCTATTTTCTGAGGATTTGAACAGGTGCATATGTTAGGCCAATGCATTAACTCCAGGGCAAGCTATCATAGAGATTATAAAATAATTTGGACTTTAAGTCAGGGAAGGTGCAAATTTGCACCCCATCAACAAATATTGTAATCAGTTTGCCGGGCGGGCGGGCGGGCGGGCGGGCGGGCGGGCGTCCCGAATAATCTTGTCTACAGGATTCCAGCCAAACCGTTTGAGGGATTCATTTGAAAATTTCAGGGATGTTTCTACCTATGAAAGTTTAGAACTGATTAGTTTTTTCGGCATTCTGAGTAAATGTTAAGGCGGCCATTTTGGATTTTCCGTCCTAGAATCTTGTCTGTCAAGGCTTGTCTACAGGTTTCCAGCCAAACCGTTTGAGGGATTAATTTGAAATTCTCAGGGATGTTTCTACCTATGAAAGTTTAGAACTGATTAGTTTTTTGGCATTCTGGGTAAATGTTAAGGCGGCCATTTTGGATTTTCCGTCCTAAAATCATGTCTGTCAAGGCTTGTCTACAGGTTTCCAGCGCTAGCCAAACCGTTTGAGGGATTCATTTGAAATTCTCAGGGATGTTTCTACCTATTAATGTTTAGAACTGATTAGTTTTTCGGCATTCTGGGTAAATGTTAAGGTGGCCATTTTGGATTTTCTGTCCTAAAATCTTGTCTGTCAAGGCTTGTCTGCAGGTTTCCAGCCAAACCGTTTGAGTGATTCATTTGTAATTCTCAGGGATGTTTCTACCTATGAAAGTTTAGAACTGATTAGTTTTTCGGCAATCTGGGTAAATGTTAAGGTGGCCATTTTTGATTTTCCATCCCGAAAAGTGTATTCTGTTCAAGTGTGCGATTCTGTTCACCGTATGGTTTATTTCTGTAATGTTGTCCTGATTTCCAGCCCTTTCCACACCTGTTTTTCAATGTTTGTTGCATTGATCACTCTGTTGCGTTTTAAATGAAAATATGATTCATGCAGGGGTTTCAAAGGCAGAATCTGATCTATAGGGGGTGACAAAATTACAAGCAACATGTACAATTGACCTATCAATCTATTCCTTACAATCTCAAATACAATATCTCCCAAAAGATTCATGATATGTTATAAATTGGTGAAGTTATCACAGACTCAAAGTGCAAAATTGGGTTAAAAATGTTTAAATTATCCCAAATTATAAGAATGGTAACCATTCTTATGGAAAAATAATACAAAATTGTAAAAATCTGAAGTTTTCCTGGAATAAAGAATGCACTTTTGTGATTTTCAGAAAATAGGCATGACAAGGAATGACACGAGCCAAAAATATTCTAAAATTGAAACAATCTTTTGTTTAGCCTGCTCGCTACATCTGATTCTCTATTTAAAGATATCAATTTTGTATGACCAACATTTAGCTGAAAACAATGGATCACATGAGTTTTCCCTATAGGAAAATAACATGGGAAATCCATGTACTGTTTTCCACTTCATCCCAAATAAATTATATTTTAGAGGTTAACTGTGTGTCAAAACTGTGTCTCAAAGTGCAACATATTGGTGCATCAAACATTGAAAAAACATATGTGGAAAGGGCTGAAAATCAGGACAACATTGCAGAAAAACCTTCCCTTTCTCAAAGTCCAAATTATTTTATTACCTGATCTGATGAAATGAACGGAGGGGGAGTAGCTGATTTTCGGTAAATTCAACAAATGTTGAAGATTTTTTTTTCAAGAAAAAGTTTACAATTGAATGGCTAAATGAAAAGGTGCAGTGCACAGGGAAATATGTTAGGTCTTCTAGGATTTTTTTTTTGAATTGATGGAGTTCTAAGATAAAAGATTTATTAAAAAAGGCGCAACGTCGCCAACGTGCAGATGCCAATGTTTTTGCTATAAATCAAGCAACAATGGTCTGTATGACCTGTAATACAGTTCAAAAAAAATCCAAGAAGACCTAACATATTCCCCCGTCCACTTCGTCTATTCATTTAGCCATTCAATTGTGAACTTTCTCTGGAAAAAATAAATCTTCAAGATTTGTTGAATTTTCTACCGAAAATCAGCTAGATCTACTCCCCTTCCGTTCATTTCTTCTGATCATCGGGCGTGATTCTTATTTGAGACTATATATTTAACACCTCCTGTGAAACTTTGAATTAAAAGGGCACAAAACTCTTAGTTTGAGAAGGATTTTCTCTAAACTTACAGTATTAATTGACCTAGAATGTGGAACCAATTAGAGAGACTACTTTTCCATGTTTTTCCAACACGGTTACAGTAAGAGAGTAGGCACAATGGGGAACTTTAGGGTACAATTTCTTCATAATTAGCCTTCATTAATATTCTAGATACCATATACCATATATTTTCTATTATACCATATACCATATTTTTTACACCTCTTATACCATATACGATAAATTTTGCCCCCTCTTATACAATATACAATAAATTTTAAGCCTCTTATACGATATACAATATCTCTATACACCCCCCCCTCTGATTTATCCCATATCTAAGATTAGAAGAGGAAGAACCGCAAATATAAGTTTTATGTACATCATTATATCACTCTTAAATAAGGGGATAAATAGAGGGATATATTTTGTGGGACTGAAGCAACCAAAGGAAATATCATATTGACCAAGGTATAAAACCCATATCACTGCCCCCAGGATTCCGTGTTTGCAGAGCGCGGACGGAATTTGCCTCTGCCCGCGGAATTGCAGAATCAACTATTTTGGTCAATTTCCGCGGAATTTTCCGCAGAATCCATATATTTTTTCAAAAAGTTTAAAAAGTCAGTCTTACCTGTAACAATTTGACACGTTTTCAGTCAAATCCCTTGCAGAAATAACCCAAATTATGCGAAGTGAAAATTCTAAACGCCATCGTTTGATTTCTGCCGTTAGATGGCAGCATGTATGTAGTGACTGAGACTGACTACCTGACTATCACGATATTTTCCCGTTTACTGGTTCGAAAACCATTAGTTTTTCTTTCGGTTCTCGTCAGAAAGTTAAACAAAGACATAAATTAATAACAGTTATTTATATTATTAAGTTATTGATCGAAAACTTCGAACTCCAATGAGATATTACACTTAAAACCTGATTTACATATATCGTGATTCCCATTATGCGCCCGATCCTCCGTGTTTGAAGTTTCGAAAAATGTGAAATTTGAAATAAAATCTGAATAAAACATTTAAAATGGATCGTTTCGTAAAAAAAATAAAAGAACCAACACATTCCTCTAAAATTTCAGCAAACCAAAATCATCTTTTTAGAATATATGATACTGTTCTTGATTTTTTTTATAATAACCGCAAAAAAATGCCGCGAATATCCGCGGAATTTCTGCAGAATTAGCCCTTTCTTCTTGCAGAATTCACTAATTTCACTTGCAGAATTGAGCATTTTAACTTGCAGAAAACTGGGGGGAGTGCCATATGCAATTCCTTACTGGAATATGATATGGATCGATTCAAGTTGTGTGGCTATGAAATCTAAGGATAACCTAATATCACATGATGATAGGCCTAATGTAAAATAGTAAACTATGTTTAGTTTTCTTGAAATGTTTATATATTAGGCGGATAACAAGCAAATATGATTAGGAGGGATTTTTCCAATTATTAAATTCCCTGGTTTTAGTCACTGGGAAGTAATATCATTGTGGTATTATATCATGGGCATAGCCAGGGGGTGTGATGGGCATGTCCGCCCCAACAAAACAAGACACACAGTGATAAATATCGCACTTTGAAGAGCAAACTGGCCACCATGCAATTTACCCAGCATGGCAAAAACCTAATCAGACCTTGGCACTAGTCTGCTCTTGCATCTGTAAATATTTCAAGTTGACAAGGTTAGCGGTTTTCCTGCAATTTTGATGACAAGAATTTATTTGTAGTCTTGAACTTTGGGAAAATTTAGATAACATTGTTTGATGACCTTATTTGATGACCTTCGACCTTGAAAATTTCACTTTTTCAGACCTCAGTCACGACAGTGGGTGTTTTGTAATTAAGCTGACCTAAATTTAAATCCAAAATATCAATTTAGAAAATCAAATTTTTGACCTTTTAAAGGTCACTGAAGGTCAACGAAAGGTCCAATCTGAAATCTAAGGTCAGATTTGAACTTCTGAGAACTTGTAGATGTTTTTAAAAAAAAAATTTGGTCAACTTGGAGCAAGTTGAAAAATTCAAAATGGCCGCCAAATTGAAAAATTCAAAATGGCCACCATGTTATTCAGCCAGCATACCCAAAACCTGATCAGATCTTGGCAATAGTCTGCTCTTGCATCTGTAAAAATTTCAAGTTGAACGGATAAGTGGTTTTCCTGGAATTTTGATGACAAGATTTGTTGAAAAATTCAAAATGGCCACCACGTAGTTTACCCAGCATGCCCTAAACCTAATCAGATCTTGGCACTAGTCTGCTATTGCATGTGTAAAAATTTCAAGTTGAACAGGTTAGCGGTTTTCTTGGAATTTTGATGACAAGAATTGATTTGTAGTCTCAAACTTTGAGAAACTTGGATAACATCATTTGTGACCTAGTTTAATGACCTTGACCTTCGACCTTGAAAATTTCACTTTTTCAGACCTCAGTAGGTGTTTTGTAATTAAGCTGACCTAAATTTAAATCCAAAATATCAATTTAGAAAATCAACTTTTTTGACCTTTTCAAGGTCACTGAAGGTGGATGAAAGGTCAAATCTGAAATCTAAGGTCAGATTTGAACTTCTGAGAACTTGTAGATGTTTTTAAAAAAAAAATTTGGTCAATTTGGAGCAAGTTGAAAAATTCAAAATGGCCGCCAAATTGAAAAATTCAAAATGGCCACCATGTAATTCAGCCAGCATACCCAAAACCTAATCAGATCTTGACAATAGTCTGCTCTTGCATCTGTAAAAATTTCAAGTTGAACGGATAAGTGGTTTTCCTGGAATTTTGATGACAAGATTTGTTGAAAAATTCAAAATGGCCGCCACGTAGTTTACCCAGCATGCCCTTAACCTAATCAGATCTTGGTACTAGTCTGCTCTTGCATCTGTAAAAATTTCAAGTTGAACAGGTAAGCAGTTATCCTGGAAATTTGATGACAAGATTTGGTTTATGTGCCGCCCGCACGCCCGCACGCACGCACAACCGCACGCCCGCCCAACAGCACAAGACAACGACAATATAGCACTTTTTCAAAGTGCGATAAAAAGGAAAAAAAGCAATTTAGTAAAATTTGATGAAAAAAATTTACAAAATATAGTTTGAAATGCTTAGAAAGCACCATATACAATGTAAATTGTATTTTTGGGGCTCGTTTCACGTGCAGTGATGCAAACCCCCAAAATTCCATCCTTCTTGACAATTGCTGGCTACGCCCCAGTATATTTAAGCCTTAGACTCAGTGCAATGTGTGCTGAACCATCCACAATGCATTGAGTCTTGGGCCTTGGGCTTAAATTTTGTTCACACATTGCAAAATATTTTCTGCAAAATCGTGAAATCACTAAAAGAACACATTTTTTCAATGACATTTTTTGCAAGGGTTAAGCTAGCAAGTCATCAAATCCGATGTGAAAAGTCCATTCATCACCATGACATGACTGTTTAACTAGTGACCTTGACTGTGTTATTGATTATTTCACACACTGTTCTGTATGTGAAATACTGTGTTCAGATTGGCTGGAATCAGACACACGTGACACCTTGCCTAGCTATGTGTGAATTATAGATTTATTTGTAAGTTTTAAAGGTCAATGGTTTGATCATCCAGTGGCGAAACATTAAGTGACATCATATCATTTAAGCATGTTATAGAAACACTAAAACTTCTCTTCATGTATTAATATGAACATACATATTAGTTTGAAAATGATAGAAGCTACTAAATTAAGTGTGTACAAGTCCTTCAACCTATCACTTTATCACAAATTACTTGGATATGATCATGAATCTGAAAAGTATAAGTGGTCAATAAACCTCAAGGGTAAGGAACCAGAAGATATCAGAAATCAAAGTTCACCCAAAGACAATACATAAATCTGACTTTATATATAATCCATATAAAATAAACAGGCCTTCAACTATATGTGATATAGTACAAAGAGGTCAGATATACAAAGATGGGAGCAGCAACAAACATTGTGAATATTGCCTTATGTATTGCATGCATCATCAGTAAGTTACAAATTTAATATATGCAAATACATGTATAACAGTAACTTCCTCCGTTCTTATTTTGAAAAACTACTGAAGAAGGAATTATAAAATATGTTTTATTTTATTAATTCTTTGATTTTTACTTTATAACATGCTACATCAATTAATTAATCAAATAATCAAATATTTTCACGCAAGATAAAATTAATCCTTAAATGTAACTTATAAATGTTATTGTAAAAGTGAATTCATTGGATAAAGATTTATTCCTTATTCTAAACCAGTTTTCTTTCAACAAAAAAATTGTGTCATAAAGTAATGAATTATATTTTAAATGATTTCACATTTTTTACAAATAGTTTGGTTGTAGAATTGTGCTTTAAACATGCCTAAGGATGTAAGAGTTGAAGGAATATACTAGATGCGAGTAGAAATACTTCATTTACTTCATTTGATATTCAAAATTTAGTTAAAGGGATATCATATTGGAAGTCTACATGTAAAATTGCATCTAGAAATGTGGTTTAAAGGGACTCTATACCTATAGGATAGCACAATCAAGACCCCTCTGGACTTTTTTTGCATCTTGAGTTTCACCACATATTCACCTATCTACTTACCAACGAAATAGTCTTATTATATTTTCGGGGAATTTAATTCTGAATTTTAAATATCCCCCTACTATTTGATTGGTCGTTGAATTTGTTTATCATGAACCTGATTGGCTACCTGGATCAAAATGCGTATGGCGCTTGTGTGACTCTACAGGGATTCAACTCGCTAGCCTCAGAATCAATTGTTTAATTCTGAAGGTTGGATCTTCTGTTGATTATTTCAATATATAGGTAATAATATACCCATAAGGTATTCTCAAGATACATTCATGGTATTTAAGACGCTATATGAGCAATGATAACGGGACATCCTTGATTGTCTGGGAGAGAAACCTATGGTTTAATGCATTTCCAACTTCAATCTTCTTTGAAAATGTGACTACTAGGTCGGGAGATTCCCCATAGAGCCCATGTTACAAAATCACAACAAGAACACAAATGTGTGCAAAATGTCCCCACCAATGGGTGATCCCGTCAAATAATTATCCTGAAAATGAGTAGACAAGACTTTACCGACACAATTTGAGGACGGAAAATCCAAAATGGCCACCTTAAAATTTACCCAGAATGCCCAAAAATTAGTTAGTTCTAGATTTTCATACTAAGAACCACCCCTGAAAATTTGAAATTGATCCGTCAAACAGTTAACCAGAAAACATGTAAACAAGACTTTACAGACAAGATTTTAGGATGGAAAATCCAAAATGGCTGCCTTGACATTTACCCAGAATGTCAAAAAACTAAAACTAATTGCTTCTAGATTTCATACTAAGAATCATTCATGAAAATTGGAAATTGATCTACCAAACGGTTCACCTGAAAACGCATAGATAAGACATTTCAGACAAGATTTTAGGACGGAAAATCCAAAATGGCTGCCTTGACATTTATCCAGAATGCCAAAAAACTAATAATCAGATCTAGATTTTCATACTAAGAATCATCCCTAAAAATTTGAAATTGATCTACCAAACGGTTCACCTGGAAATGCGTAGACAAGACTTTACAGACAAAGATTTTAGGACGGAAAATCCAAAATGACTGCCTTGACATTTATCCAGAATGCCAAAAAAACTAATCAGATCTAGATTTTCATACTAAGAATCATCCCTGAAAATTTGAAATTGATCTACCAAACGTTTCACCTGAAAACGCGTAGACAAGACTTTACAGACAAGATTTTGGGACGGAAAAATCCAAAATGGCCGACAATAAAAAAGTGATTATGAGTTTTGCTGATTTCCTTTAACAAAATTATCATATATAACTACTGTTAACAATTACATAGGCTTTTACAACAAAGTACACCTGAAATTATTTATGAAGCTACTAAATAGTTTAAGTATGAAAACTCAAAAACACCATTCAATATGATACAAAGTATTATCGCGCGCTAACTTTTCTTAAGACATTCAAAATGGCTGACATGACTGAGCTAACAGGTCCAAAACCTAATCAGATGTAAAATGAAGTGAGCTGAACAAGATATTAAAGTTTTAAAAGCAACTGTGAAGCCGTTTTTCTTAAAGTTTGCAGACAAGGATTTTAGCATTTGACTTCAAAATGGCCGACAGGAAGTAGGTATCGAGTTAAATTTTTTTCATCTACATTTGTATGCACTCATAAGTTATCCCTGAAAATTTGAAGGTGATATCTGTAGCGGTTTTGGAGAAAACTGCCGGATGTACGGACGGACAGACAGACGGACGGACGCGCCTAGGCCGACAATATGGCCCAACACTATGTGGTGGGGACATAAAAAGTGAAATATCTTTTCTTGTAATGGGGAGATAGTATTTTCTTTTACTGGACATATTTTCATTAGTATAACTATCAGACACATAAGGATTATATGTAAATTGACCCCACTTAAACTGATAATATTGAAGTTCAGTTTCTGATTCTCTGATTGCCATATCAAAAATAAGGGGAAATATTTCCCGCTCAAAAAGTCTTATAATCCAGGGTGTATTTTTCTATCCAATATTAACTAAAATCCCTGATAAATCAACTTATTTGGTGTGAGCATTAGTTTAGTTAGACTGTCCAATTAGACAGGAAATATAGCAGTACATGTTATTGTATTTTTGGACTTCTAGAAATATATCTTAATAGAATCCCTGAAAGTGCAACAGGTGCTCACTGAAAATAGAATGAAAAAAATGATTATTATCCCAAACCTGTAATCCAACTCACCAATTACTCAGATGCGAGTAGGCAGTTACCAGTTTCGCCACCAGGTGGCTGATTCGGGGGAAATAACATGGCAGGGTATTACAAAATTCCCTTAAACTTGAATACTTGTCAGTTTTAGTGGTTCACTTTTCATAATACCCTTATGTATCTGATAGTTAAACAAATTAAAATATGTCCAGTAAAAGAAAATATTATCTACCCAACACAAGAAAAGATATTTCGATTTTTGTGATTTTCCAACATGGGGGCTATGGGGAATCTCCCCGACCTAGAAGTCACATTTTCAAAGAAAATTAAATTTTCAAAGTTGATAAACTCTTTTCAAAACCATATTTCTAGATGTAATTTTACATGTTTTAATGACGTAAATCAAGATTATTTCTACTGGCATCTAGGATATTAAAGCTCAGTATGATAATTCATTTTAATTTGGATGTTATTTTTTATGCCATCAATCTTACATTTTCATTCCTTTCTTATTTCTTATAGCAAATACAGAAGCAAAGGGGTCAGTTGATCCAAGATGTCCACAAAGTCTATCTGGACTAAATTGGGAAGTGAAGTACTTGAATGGTAAATGCTATCAATTTGTGGAAACACTCAAGTACTGGAATGATGCAAGTGATTGGTGTAACAATGCTGGAGGTCACTTGGCTCAAATAGACAACCAACAGACACAAGATTTCCTTGTTTCATCTCTCCGCTTGCTTAACTGGCCTGAGACAATCGTTTGGATTGGAGCCCATAGGAGAAGGACTGGTGGAATATGGAAATGGACAACTGGTGCGAATGTTGCTTATACAGCTTGGGGGTCTGGGCAACCAGATAATTCCAACATATTTGAAGAGGAAGAGTGTGTAACAATGCTCCTAGATGATAATGGAAAGTGGCATGATTCTTGCTGTGCTTGTTTCCCAGATGAGGAGACATATATCTGCATGTATGGTATGTTTCCCATCGACGCCTTATTCTAGTTCATACCGCATGCAATGTTTAGACCAATGAGAACTTCTACATAATGAACCAATCTTCATGCTGAAGTGTATAAACAATTCAGACAACATGTTTGTTTGTAGATGCAGCACCAGATCCAGGAGCAACAACTTTGCCAACCCCACAGCCAACTGCAGGTGAGAACAATAATGTAAATGTGTGACAATACCTCAATAAACCTGAGGCATGTCTTACTTCATTATCATTGCTTTTGCTTCTATTGGTACTTGTACTAACATATTTTCTTTGTTAATTCCTTACTTTATGTCTTACTTCATAATCATTGCTTTTGCTTCTATTGGTACTTGTACTAACATAGACTGTACATATTCTCTGTTTAAATTTATTGTTGCGTAGTGCATATGACTATTTCTGTTTAAAATATGAGGCCCTTTTTATCTTGGAAAATCATATTTAAAGCAGAAATAGAATGTTTTAGCCCATTTCATTGGAAAGATCATATCAAAATTAGACAGTATACAGTTTCAGGGACTGCATTACTTTCAAAATGTCAGAACCTTACTTTCCTAAAGGTCCAATATTTTAAGAGGACAAAGATTTAAGTCACATACTGTAAGTTCAATTCTATGACACTATAGATAATCCTTGATAAATTGATATTTCCTGTTGAAGGTGGTGATCCAAGATGTCCACAGAATGTTATAGATATTGGATGGCAGGTGAAATACTTCAATGCCCAATGCTATCAGTTTGTTGAAAGCCTTCTCTATTGGAATGATGCAAGTGATTATTGCAACAATGCCGGGGGTCGCTTGGCTCAAATAAATGACCAACAGACACAGGACTTTTTAGTTTCAACGCTACGCTCCCTCAACTGGCCTGAGACAATTGTCTGGATTGGAGCCCATAGGAGAAGCACTGGTGGAATATGGAAATGGACTGATGGTGCCAGACTAGGATACACAGCATGGGGTGACGGACAACCAGACAACTCTAACATATTTGAAGAGGAAGAATGTGCTCAGATGCTATTGGATGATAATGGACGTTGGCATGATTCCTGTTGCGCTTGTTTCCCTGATGAAGAGACATATGTCTGCATGTTTGGTGAGTCTAATGCCAATATGATAATTCAAAAGATTTAGGTGATCTACATGTATAAAAAAGCTTGCTATCCAATGCACTACTTTAACCTCATAACACAATAATTAAAACAATCTTTTTTGACAACAGTACATGTAGTTATTTAATGATGTTATTAGTACAATAACGTCATTTCTAAGGGCGATATAGTGAAATATTAGACCAAGGGCCGAAGGCCCAAGGTCCAATATTTCACTATATCGCTCGCAGAAATGATGTTATTAGTATTATTACCACCGTTAACGACCAGGACTGAAACAGCAAGAAAATCTTACGCATTGAACGATATCTAATTTCCCAGGGAAAATTGCCGGTCCAGAATATATTCTAGACCGGTCCATATGGACCACCACTATGACGTCACACATTTCTCAGGTCGATATAGTAAAATAAACGCCTTCTAAACTAGCACTAAAACCCCTAGGACTGGCCCGGCAAGGTGGTAATAATAAGTTTTTATTCTTGATAATATCATATTAGAATTTTGTACATAATCAATTGTTGTGTGAGGTTTTTGCTTTTTTGCTTTACCTAATATATTTTTAATATCATTGACTGTATTCAGAGTGTTGGTTGATGTTCCAATTTTTACATTTTCTCATAGTGTCCCTAATGTTTTCAGATGCTAACTTCTCTTTGCTTGCATTTTATGCAGGTGTTACTATTAACTTTAATATTAATTCTTTAGATCCAGTTGGAGCCACCACTGTCACTAGACCGAACCCTCAACCTACAAGTGAGTATAGAGTCAGTAGAATAAATAAAAAAAGATATATTGACAGATCCATTACACTAATATTGGCTGTATGCAGTGAATTCCTACATCTATAAGTGTGAAATCATCAGGTTTACACTTTTTCTATTGTATGTTTGTAGCTCCAGTTGACTCTAGATGTCCCCAGAACATTGCAAGTATGCAATGGCCGGTAAAGTTCTTTGGTGACAAATGTTACCAATTTGTTGAAACAATTGAATATTGGCCCGTAGCGAAGGAATTCTGCAATAATGCGGGGGGTAATCTAGTTCAAATTGACAACCAACAGACACAGGACTTCCTGGTTTCCTCCGTGCGCTCATTCAACTGGCCTGAGAATATCGTGTGGATCGGGGCCAATAGAAGGAGAACAGGTGGTGTTTGGAAATGGTCTACTGGTGCCACAGTGGTCTACACAGCATGGGCCACTGGACAACCAGATAACACAAACATTGTTGATGAGGAAGAATGTGCTCAGATGTTCCTGAGTGAGAATGGTCTTTGGCATGATAATTGCTGTGATTGTTTCCCTGGGAAGGAGACATTTATCTGCATGTACAGTAAGGCTTTTTAACTATTGCAAAACGATAGAGCTATGGAAAAAAACAAGCTTCGATTTATAATAATTTTAAGATAACAAAAGTTATTTAAGTCGAATAGAAAATATTAAATGTATGAATTTTCAAAATGATCCCTCCACTACTTGTATAACTCAAGATTATGTAAATCACCATTTTGGAAGCATGCACAAATAACAAATCCTGACTCAAAGATTTGGATCTGGTATCATAATGAATTTTTTTCTTTGCAGATGCTTATATCCCAGGAATGTCCACTACAACTGGTTTACCAACTCCCCCACCTACCACACCAGGTAATTGCAATATGCACTATCTCTCTTCTATGACAATGTATTGGTGAAAAAACAATGAATAACAAACTCACTCAAACAAAATATATTCTTAAATTAGTTGTCATTTGCTTGAAATAACCATGGCATATGCCTTCCTGTCTTGATCTCTTATGACCAATATGCATCGGTTTCCAGATACTGTAGATGAATTATATACAAAAATCAATGGACAGTCAGTTTCTCTCATGCAATTGGATATGACATGAAATTAATACTTCAACGCTAAATCAATATCACTTTGGTCATAATATACAGCTTTACATTTATATTTTACATGCAGTTAAGGACCCAAGATGTTCTCAAAGGGTAAATAATTTGGGCTTGCCAGTGAAGTACATGGATGCCAAATGTTACCAATTTGTTGAGACTGCAAAGTTATGGACAAATGCCAGGGACTACTGCCAAGCTGCAGGTGGTACACTTGCAAAAGTAGGCAACCAACAGACACAAGACTTCCTGGTTTCATCTTTACGTTCACTGACCCGGGTTACAAATCTTGTTTGGATTGGGGCCCATAGGCGTGGAACTGATGGAGTATGGGTTTGGACAACTGGGGAAGATGTCACTTTCACAGCATGGAGTGCTGGTCAACCAGACAATAATAATATAGCCTTAGATGAGGAGTGTGTGGAGATATATCTCACTGACAATGGACTATGGCATGATGCCTGTTGTCAATGTCTGTTGAATGAGAAATCATTCATATGTATGTTTGGTAAGAAACTGTTATTTTGTACAAGAAACATTAAAAAAGCACTACTGCATTTCAACATGGGCTTTCTAGTTGAAAGCCCATGATTTCAAGTATCAATGCAATATATCTGTGTGAGAAACTCCCATACCAGATATTTAGAATCATCTTAAAGCCAAGCACAAACGTTACTCAATCTTGTAGCCGACTTTATTCAGGAGTGGGCTAGAAATTGCTTTCGTCAGTGCCAATTGCCAACTCTTATCTTTTAAATGTCATATTTTATTTCAAAATGACATTTGACAAATTGAATCCTCAAATAAATCAAAATTGAAAAGAATGAATATTTCTTCTTAATAAAAGTGAAGGTTGGCAAAAATTTAATAGAATCACAATTAACATTTTATTCACATCATAAACATAACATTTCTGTTTGAATTTTTGTTCAAATAAGATGCCATTCCTGTCACAACTAGAAGGCCTGGGACAAATAGTGGAGTCACTCAATCAACTAACAACAGGTTCTCCTCGACAAAGACTACAAGTAACACAGGTAAGAATAATACACTGGATACGAGACATGAACATGACTACACTGGCGAATGAGGACACAAGTAGGGTTGTTTTTGGAAAATATTGTTTTCATGGCCTTTTTACAAAATTCAGCTCGTTTTACAAAAGTGCAATATCAACATTTTGAATATTATAAAGAAGAGATCTGAGGCCTCATCATTGGCCATTTGCTTCTGCATTTGTGATGCACTTGCAATTTGACCATTTGTACCATTAACAAGACCTAAGATTTTAGCATTTCAGAAAAATGTACATCTGTTTATTACTTTTTATTTGACAATTATGTGATCAATAAATAATTTCAAATGACACGATTAAAATAGATAACAAGTGTCTTAAAGATTATTTGTATTATTTGTGATTTGATTTGCTGCAGGGTAAAAAAACTTTTTTGGTCCTTTTCATTGGCAATATCCTTCCCTTTGTGTCAATGTTGTGTCAAGTTCAATAATAGATTCAATTCGTGTGTGTGATTCACAAAAACCTGTTCTCTGTTGTGATGCATTTGCAAATCTGTATTGTGAATGTTCAGGAATAAGGAATCTACAATAATTTCTAGAATCACATGAAAAAGCCTCCAAATATTACTAGTTAGCAAATATATGTGGCAGGTTGTACACTTATGGAGTAAATGAGTCTACTACTACCTCTACTACTATCTCAAACAGAACTGTAAGCACTGTTAATGAAAAAGTGCAGAGCAGTGCTGTTTACTAAACAGTGCTGCACAGTGCTATAAAAACAGGGCAGTGCTCAGTACTGTTTACAATGCTGTACAGTGCTGCAAAATGATGTTGTGGATTGGAGTAGCAAGTTTTTCATATTGAGAAAAAAAAATACACAGTTGAAACTTAAAACAAGGTGGAATATGGCATTCATTGACCATGGAAAAATTTGTTACACTACATCTTTTTTTTAAAATTCTTTTAAAAATCTCATTCTATATACTAGTAGACTGAAACTTCTTTAATATTCCCTACAATTTATTCCTGTAAATAGGCCTACCATAGTGAACCTTTTATAAGATATTAATGCAGATGTTAACATTTTATGCACCACACAGGTTTTTTACACACTCACACTGTATGTTTCATAATATATCACAGGTGCTGTTTCACCAGGGGGCCAGAGCTCAAAGGAAGAGGAGGCGAAAAAACAAGAGCAGCTAGCTTTAATCTTAGGAGTGACAATTGGTAGCGTTGGCATTATATTGATTGCCGCTGGTGTTGTCACACATTTCTATCGCAAGAAGAGGTAGAATGGATTTTTAATTATCATGTTGAACCAGAACAATGGCAACGCCAAAGCGTAGCGAATCCCATCGAACAGAAATGGCTGGCATTTTTACAAACGAATAGCAAATATCATAAAACAACACACATAAGAAAGGCCACCATTTTCAAAATGGTTGCTCACTAGCCAAGTTGTCATCAGAAGAAACAATATGCTTTTCAGTAGCCACCTCTAAAATTTTTGAAAAATCGCACACGTACTTGTAAAATAACACACATAAAAATGGTGGCCATTTTTCAAAATGGCCAACTACTCCCCAAAGTTTTATTAGAAAATGTGCCATTCTTAAAGTATTCACATATCAAATATGAACAAAATCGCTCCACTACTTTTTGAGTTATAGTAAAATACGTTAAAATGGCGGCCATTTTTCAAAATGGCCACCTTCTACCAAAACTGTCATTAGAAATAGACAGTGTGCCATGCTTATAGTATTCACATACCAAATATGAACAAAATTGCTCTACTACTTTTCGATAATAATAGTAAAAAACGTTAAAATGGCGGCCTGGCCGCCTTCTACCAAAAGTGTCTTAAGACAGTGTACAATGCTTATAGTATTCACATACCAAATATGAACAAAATCGCTCCACTATTTTTTGAGTTATAGCAAAAATCGTAAAATGACGAGTAAAGGCCACCATTTTTCAAGATGGCTGCCATGTGCTTTTTTAATATGTACATTTGTAGCATTATTAATGTCCTTTATAATTTTTTTACATTTAAAACATATTGCTATAACAGTTTTACATATTGCACCTAAATTACTGTAAAATCGACACTAAAATGGCCGCCATTTTAAAATGAGCGGCCATTTTGAAAATCGGCTTTCGAGCAGAACTTCTACCCCCATAAGGTATATGTGTACAAAATATATGAACAAAATCGGGCCAACGGTATTTGAATTATTGCCCGGACGGACGGACGGACAGACGGACGTACGTACGGACGGACGGACGTACGTACGGATGGACGTACGTACGTACGGACGGACGGAGGCGTTCCCTATATCCCTCCGAACTTCGTTCGATGGGATAATAACAGTTAATGATTACACTGAAACAAACTTTCGGGGGCCCCACTCTCGTGTTTTAAGAAAAATCTTCAAATTTTCATGAAATGAAATATATGAATTTACATGAATTTATTTATCATGAAATAGCATGTTAATAACATGATTGGCTTGTGTTGAATATGATAGGTAGACTCAAAAAATAAACTTTAAATCAAACTATTTGTTTCAGAGCATTGAAAGTTCCAGGACAATTGGTTGTAGACAATCCTAACTACAGTACTGCTGACCGCCTTGGTGTGAAATTCACAAATGATGACAGTAACCCAAAAACTGATATAAGTGATGAAAACATGAACCCAGGTCTCAAAAATGGAAAATGGCAAGAGTTTAATATATAAATTACAGTGAAAGTATATCTGTTCTCTATGAGAACAATAAAGAAACTCTAAAAACTGACACTACTTGGACAAACCACAGTAATGCTCACTTTGCAGGCCCATCTTGGATTTCCAAGATATGATGTTTTCATACCTTGGAATATCAGGCTAAAATTTCTGCACAAAAGCCTCTTAATTTGTCATAGATTGAGGATTCTGATGAATGAGATATCATCTTATCCAGCCAACATTATGCTAATTCTTATGTATTAGGTAAATAGAAGGTGAGCAGTCAACCTCATTAGTAGTCAATTAAGGGCCAATAACTCCTTTAAAAGGAGCCTGACCAATGAGATCTTAGAGTAAAACAAACAAATCATCTGATTGTGCGCTGGATTTAATGTGCACCAATCAGATGATTTGTTTGTTTTTCGGATAGAAAAGTTGTCCACTGATGCCAGTGTGATTGAAAATCAAACTGGGAAACGAGTATGTTGCAGGCCAGAGGGACATCTAAAATTGGGGTGTTTACATTATAAGGTAACAAGATGATACCAAGAATATATAGTCTCTTTTAAAACTGAATCCAAATTGTGTCAAATTGTAACAAAATAAGTACAATCGCCATAAAGGGGTAAGCCCAAAAATATTTTAGTAAAATAAAATGATCTGACATACAACAACGTGCTTTCCATGATTTTTAAACAAAAGGTACTGCCGTCGCCTGAGTAATAATTATAAACATGAAACTAGAAATTAATCTTAAGTTTGTTGCTTAAAGATATTGCCCATCCAGTGGCAGTTAAAGCTCTGTTGAAATCCCATGGAAATATTAATGATTACAATAAATATAAATAAATATAATTAACCAATAAAAAATCAAAACTGTTGGAGCTATTGCTAAATTGCCAAAATATGTTGTCATGGAATGGATATTGTCTTTATAACATGTAGATAGTATAAGGGTTAACTGCAAGAGTTCAATAAGTAATAATAGCAGACTCTACATGTAAAGACATCAATAGCAAAAACATCAATTTAAAATTAACAAATTCACCAAAAACAGTGAATCTTTAAGAATAAGGGGATATTATCAGAGAGGTATGGTAAAACCTGTAAATTGAACCTCTGTAAGTGGAACACCTCCGAGGTGAAATATATTTTGAGGTACCAAAGGTGTTCCACTTACACAGGTTTAACTGTATTTAACTCATTGAGTTTCACTGCCATCCAATAGTAAAAACACAAGTAATGTACCTGTTCATAAAATGGAGTATCACCTGGCAGCTGAGATTCCAGGAAGTTTTCCTTGTTGAAGTACCTCTTGTCTGCCTTTATCACCTTTATATTGGTAAGCACATCCCTTTAAAGCAAAATTAAACTTCCATGAAATTTTAAATGTTATTCATTTTGAAACAAGCACAAGTGGCATGAGGGGAAAGATCACAGAGTACTTTAAAACACACCAACAAAAAGTATACATGAATATACGTATACAAAAGATACACATATCCCTTACAATATTATATTATATTCTATTATATTGATTCTATTGAAAATGTGATCATATTTTTACCTAAATAAGTTCACCATGAGCTCCATGAAGGATGCAGTAACAAATCTGTTAAACATTTCTGTTAGCCTTCTTCTTTCTAAGCGTACTTCTTCTAGACTCAGACAGCTTGTACTGCAATAAGCAAATAATCAAACTATGTAAATGCAAAGGTAAAATTCCTTGGTGATTGATTGAAACATTGATCTATTGATTGATTAATTGACTGAGCAGTGTATTTTTAACCAAATTCTTTCTATTGTATTTTCTAATTCACTGCTTCGCAGAAATTTTCTTCATAGGAAGGACCTGTTCAAAGGTTTTTTGATGGACTTACATATTTATGAATGCAAAAAATGTAACACTCTCAAACAAACATCAATTTTTGTATTAATTGAACATGTTACCTGTTAATAAGAATGAGATCAAAGTTAGGCATGATGCGCTGTGTTGCAGTGCGGAACATAGAGACTGGCTCAGAGGGTAGACTAGGAATATACAGGCTGTCAGACACCTCCACTTGGCCACTGTCTATGTCTACTATCACTATACCATCCACCTAGTCAGACAAAATCAAGAGAGATATTTAGAGGTTATGTCACTATCGCGGCATATATGCCCAAGGTCTCAGTGATATATGGCCCGACCTTGGGAGGGACATTGATCTCTGAGAACCGAGGGCATATGTGCCACGATAGTGACATAAACGATTTATACCTATGATGATGTAGACTGGTCAGAGAGTACAGTTTTCTTATAGAATTGACAAACAAATGGTTTGAAAATGATTGAAATGAGTTTAGAAAAATTGCTCGCGCAGTTTTATCTTCGATTGATTGGTTATGACGTCGGTGCCTTGACCAATCAGAAAGTTAGCGGGCGCGGGCTTTTCAAAACTTATATTGGCCCGCTGTCTTGTGTATACTTTGCACTATACATCATCATAGGTATTTTATAAAGATATAGATAATACTCGTACATGACTATTACAGCAGGGGTTTCATTAGCAGCAGGCAACGGGCGATTTTCACCAGTTGTTTTCAAAAAATCGCCTGTTGTTTTTAGGGACTTTTCAACTTTTCCATGTTAGATTTACGATTTCCATTAAGCCAGTTGTTTTCATTTATTTAGCCTGTTGTGAGAAATTCTAGTGAAACCCCTGTACAGTATTTTATTTACCTCCCCTTATATGGGGTAGGAGGGGTGTAATCAGAAAATATAACTTTATTTGCTTTTTCCACAACAGTCAACACTAGGTCACATACCTGTTCAATATCTGGTCTGTGTTCAGCATGGCAGCCCATTAGGAATGTTCCAGGGGCATCTACTAGTTCTAACAGCCTACTAGGCAAGATGGGGACATAAGGATGCTGCCATTCAAATGGATGAATAAAGTTGAGAAAACTCTGGAAATAAACCAATCATTATTGTTTGATTAAATGCCAATATTTTAGTACTATATTAAATGGTAATATCTTTTTATTTAATACATGTACATATGTATTTATTCAAATGAGCCGGGGAATTTTGCTGAAAATAAAAGATATTTACAAATATAGTTTGGCCTAACATTGATAGATGTTTGCAACTTTAAGAAGAATGTTTACAACTATCATTACAACTATTGAAAGTCTGTTGCAGCTTTGAGGGAGGGATCAGCCATAAAAAAAATTCTGACACTATGGGCATATAAAATGAACAATACCTTACCTCCATGACAATAGTGAGTATTGCATAGCTAGTTGACATGAAGACGATCCTCTGTTGGGTTAACATGCAGGCAATGATCTTCAGCAGGTTCTCCATGGTGAATGAGAGGAATGGAATGTTCAGAGGAATGTCTATCACATTTCTATCAGGGTGGTCTGAGGAGTGGAGATTGATTGTCAGTTGGTATAAACTGAAATTCTGAAATCATAAAAGGTGAAAACTTTGTGAATACTGTATGACTCATATTAATTCCAGTTTGCATAATTGTATTTCCTAAATTCTAACTGGAAATACACACAGACTATTTGTGTGTTCCCATTTTGCTAAAGCCTGTATGTTTTTCTATGTCTGCATGATCTGCATTGTTTGCCATATTATCAGACCTGAATAAGCCATTTAGTAGTGAAATTGGTAACTACTAATTATTACCTAATTTATTTTACTTATTATAAAAAATGTGATAGCTCTAAAAAGAGGTTAACCAGGACTAATTGTGTTAACCAGTATGGACTCCCATAAAACGGATATGAGCATTGGTTCAGATGAATGGCGGTTTTCATTCGTCTCAAAATTGTTCATGAACACCATGTGAGCTAAAAATACAGGCCCGTAGCCATGATTTGCCAAGGGGGATTCAATTTTTGAAACATTCCAGGGGGTTCACTTTTGACAATTTTGGTCCAAAAATGGCCAAAATCACTTAAAAAGTGCTCAGAATGGCGAAAAACTCCATGATTTTGAAAGAATTTTTGGCCAAGTGAGGGGGGGGGGGTTCCCTCGCACACATCGAACCCCTCTGGCTACGGGGCTGAAATACCTGGTAAAAATGCCATTTTGCCAATTGTTTCACGATACTTTACTCACTATAGAGATCATGCCAGCAGGGGGCACTGGGGTCATGGTCAACTGGCGGGTATAGTCCTTCAAGAATGTGTTCATCTCTTCATGATCTTGCTTTATCAACTGCACTAAGCTGCAATAATATACAAGACATTAACATGACAAAATGTCTCCACCTAGTTGCTCACAATATTATGAGTTCAATTTCAGTCAGACTTGAATTTCTGAGAATTTGTAGATGATTTTGTAAAAAAAATTGGTCAATTTGAAGCAAGTGGAGAAATGACGCTTTTTGACCTTGAGAAGGTCATTGAAGGTAAAATCTCAAATCTAAGTTAGATTTCAGAGAACTTGTAGAGAATTTAAAGTAAGTTGAAAAAAGACCTTTTTGACCTAAAGAAGGTCATCAAAGGTCAAATCTTTTGACCTTGAGCAGGCCATTGAAGGTCAAATCTCAAATCTATAGTCAGATTTGAACATTTGAGAACTAGTAGATGATTTTGAAAAAAATTTCAAGCATTTGAAGCAATTTGAAAAAAAACCTTTTGACCTTTTTTGACCTTGAGAAGGTCATTGAAGGTCAAATCTTTAGTCAGATTTGAACTTCTGATAACTTGTAGATGATTTTGAAAAAAAATTGGTCAATTTGAAGCAAGTTGAAAAAAGACCTTCTTGACCTTGAGAAGGTCAAAGTTGGTTTTCTAAATAAAAGTCTGTAAACAAAAACAATGTGTTTTATAGTACTTATCTGGTGTTATGTAGGTGTACATATTCTTGAGTGATAAGTCAATGAATGGATGCCTTATTGGTTGACTGAATGTGTGGGTAGATACTAGATGATTGGATGTTTGAATGAATTAACTGTGGGTAAATGATCAAGTCTTGGAATTAATGAGTGATTATACTGAGTGTATGACCAAGTGTGGGAAAATTGAGTGCATGGCTTCGTGTTGGTAGGTGTTTAACTGAGTGAAAGGTGATTGTTATGAATGCTGGAATGTTCATGTGTGAGAAAATGGGTAAAGGGGTAGATGTGTAAGCGAGTGTATGCAATATATCCCAATATAAACAATGAGTGAGTAAAAATCAAAAAGTTATTACCTTGAGAGACAATCTTTCATTACAGTGAGGTAAGGGTGGCTAGAGATCATAACACAGCAGACTGGGAGCCACACTTTGAACTGACCAATGGTTAACTGAACTTCTTTAATGTCTTTGTCCTCCATATCTGCAAACTTCCATTCTGTCTCATTATCAACCATTTCCTAGGATATTGTAAAGAAGTTAATCACAGGGCTTGCAATTCTGCATATATAGAGTTCAGTTAATCATGGCAGGCCCGTAGACAGGATTTTCCAAGGGGGGTTCACTTTTGACAATTTTGGTCTAAAAATGGCCAAAATCACTTAAAAAGTGCACAGAATGGTCAAAACTGCATGATTTTGAAAGAATTGGCCAGGGAGGGTTCGCTCAAACCCATCGAACCCCCTCCCCTGGCTATGGGCCTGGATGGTGTCCAATCATCAACAGTTGTTAATTCAGAATGCTAACTGGATTGATTCATGTGACAGACATACATGTATCAACAGTTGGTTTGATTCATGTGACAGGCATATCAACAATTCTGTGGGAGGAAGGTCAAACCATTATGAAATTATTATCTCAATATTCTACAACTTTTGATATAACACAACGCCTATGTTGCACTAAAAAAGACAATGAAAATTCTGTATTCTGTTCTGCTTGATAAAACTATAGTTAGCTTCCATGAACAGAAAACCAAAATTCTTAAATTGAGGTCTATTGCCCGCATCCTCCTCATTTCTATACTCACTTTCTCAATAAGAACCTGTCTGTAATATGTAAGACATGTAGCATAAGATCTGTCCCCTGTCACATCAGTCAGCACCAAATAGTGAACACGATCCTTACGTTGCCGCTTGTGAACATAGGCATAGTCTGAAATATTGGAACATAATAAAAGTTGACTTCATACATTGAATGATATCATTACAGATGCATGTACACTCAATGTTTCTGAATACATGTAAATGTATGATTAATAATCAGAGACAATTTTTCATATTAGGGTTCTACACTATGCCAGGCTCAGAGACTATTTTTCATATAAGGGTTCTACACTATGCCAGGCTCCAGGGGCTGGACAATAAGAACTGTCCAATGTATCCCCCAATTTGCAATCAGAATTTTCATGTTCAGTGCCAAAGAAATAAAAATAAAAAAAGATAATGAGATTGCCATTGAGACAACTGCGGATTCGTTTCAATTGTGCTCTATTTTTAATGCATGGAAAGCAATGTACAATGTCTCAGAATGGGCTTTCAAGAGAAATACCAAATTAGGACAATGGTCTCAGTGCTGTTTTATTTTGATCTTTTTACTACTATATATATATATACGTACCTGGGAAGCAGAAAGCATGTAATGAATTGATCACTTCAGTTGATATGGGGAGCTCCTGGGGCTTAACAGACATTCTACGGGACCTCATTGTTGACCTTCGTGACCTGTCAAGACCTGCCGTTCTGTGACCACTTCCCATAATGCCCATGGAGATGCGCCTGGAGGGCCTCTGGCCAGGCTGCTTCAGTGCTAAAGCAAAATGAAACTAAAATGCAGAAAATGCCCCTTCAAAGAGTATCAGTGATCTCCTCAGTTTTTTCTCAATATTTTGCTAAATCCTAAATTTACCGATTTTTGTCAAAATAGTATGCTTTGCATTTGTTCTCAAAAGTAACAGAACTTCATTTAGAACTGGTCAGGGCAGTCAAAATATCACAATATTTCATCATTTCGACAATGTGCAAACAAATTTTTCACAGGGTGACATGTCTTTTACAGATTTTCAACATGGTGCAGAATGCGTTTGCTCAAATGCTGGACAGATCAACGAGTTTCTTTCAAATTGTAATATAATATTTAGAATACCAAGGTTTTCTCTACTAGATGAAAGAGATATGCATTGCCAGATCATTCCCCCTGATATGGTACATGTAGCTACAACCATATACAATTTCCATAATTAGAAAAACTACAGAAAATGTTTTGATATTGTCAGTATTGATCATTTAAAAATGCATGGTTATAGCTACCATGGTGAGGAATATTCAGGGCAGTCAAAATATCACATATAACAATATTTCATCATTTCATCGACAATGTGCGAACAAATTTTTCACAGGTTGACTTTTACAGATTTTCAACATTGTGCAGAATTTGCGATTGCCTAAATTCTGAGAGGCACAAATTGTACCTTGCTGTGACTTGTATCTGGTAACTCCAGCTGAGTATGGGTAGTAGGGGTCCATCTTTATTGGTGCTTGTGGAAACATAGCAACATTAGAAGAGATGGCAGCAAGCACCTGAGGCTCATAGGCTTGTGTGAATGGAACTTCAATGTTCTTAACAGCATTCCGTGGCTGAAACATACAAGTCAGTGTAAAAGGGGTCCATCTTGAATAATGATTGACATGTATATGGGTAGCGACTGGTAGGTATGAATAAATTACAAGGCTAAAACAAGCAGGTTAAATATACAGGATTGATTGAGGTTATATCACTTCTACGCTGACATTATACTTTTGGATGGAGGTTCAAAAGTTAGTCAGACTGCCTGCTTCAGTTTATGCATTATACATATTGTATTTGTAATTAAAACCATGTTTGTTTGGACCTTATATTAAAACAATGTTCTAAATAAAGGTAAAAGTGGAACATTCTGATTTCTAAAGTACATTCACCATTGAGTACCCCTACTTAAAATACATTCACCTTGAAAATTGAAGACCCATGCTTAAAAAGCATATACCATTGAGTATCAATGACACCTACTTGAAAACACGAGCCAAAAAAGATACTCTTTTGATCTGAACGGAGTAGCAGTTGGGAAAAACATTTTGTGCCTTAAATAAACTAATACGGGCAGACAGTCGAATGCATCTGGGTCTGGCCAAAAGTTTTACGATTATTAGGTGTTCACATTTCAAAGTTTTATAAACATGTTAAGTCAAAGAGAGAAAGTAAATTTGGGACCAAGAAAAAGTGTTTACATTGAGAGGTGCTAAGAGAGGTTTTCTGATATGCAGGTTTCATTGTTTATAAAAAGTAAGTGCAGCATTTCTACCTGTGGTTGGGCTGGTCTGAGGCCTGTATATTGATCAAGTCCGACAACCAGCATTGCCTCACAAAGGCTGTTATGGAGACGTGACGTCATGTCTGTTCATGCAACGGAACTATTTTTACCCAGCCAGTTTCTGAAAAGATAAAATGGATAATACTTATTTCACCAGTCTGATGTAAAAGCTAGGATTCTTACTGTAGGGAAAAAGAACGAAAATGGCAATATAACAAGGAAGAGAATTCTGAGATTTTGTACAGTGAAACAAACAGTAGGCCGAATTTGAAATCATTGCTGTGAATTGATGATCATAAAATGCATGTTACGACAGAGTAAGAGAAGTTGAGCAGTAGACTGATAATTGTTCTATCAACGTAATCTTGGATGAAAACGTCAGTTACCATGTTTTTATGAAGAAACAGTCACTTGTAAAAGTTTTATCAATTTTATCTTGTACTCCTCGCTCTGAACGAAACACAAGAGAATAAGTTTGAACAAAGTTATCCCGGGGATTCAATGAGATAGTTTTAAGATGATCGCAAGGCATGAATAATGAATGGAATTTGATTATATCACTGATACAAAACTTAGACATGTCAAAAATATTACTGTTCAAGTCTAAATGTCTCTAAGCTTGCTTTTAATGATTATGTTTTGCGAACTTGTGGCATCTATGTTTTTGTTGCGTTTGCTTTTATAGTGTAGCTTGATTTCCGGTTCTAAAATTTTGTTTTTTCGGCACCAGGTTCTTTTACATTTTAACTGTAAGTTGAGAATCTAACTGCATGATGGACGACTTCAAATTAAAGGTAAAACCTTATGCTTTAAAAGTAATATATGCAACAATAAATGTGTTGAAGTTTTATTCAGATATTTCGAAATCTTATCATGGCCATTGCCATTCCATTCCACGGATCAAGAGGTCAAGGCATGAAGCTAATTTCAGAACAAGAAAATGCAGCAAACTCCTCGTAGTCGAGATCTCCAGTCAAAAAGTCGCCTAGCCCAGGCCTTGGTACCATCGGTTGGTTATACCAATCACTGTTTTATGAGACACCTTTATGATAACCGATTCCTGTTCATCCAAAGAGCAATTGCACTGAACGAAACCATATACTTGTTTGTTTTATTGTTGGTATCATGCCTAAGACGTCACATATGATCGAAGAAACGTTAAACCAGTCAGTGAGGTCTAGATAATTTGGTTTTTGCAGGGGGAATATATGTTTGACGTCATCATGGGCTTTCAATTAGTTGAAAGCCCATGACGTCATAGATGACTTGGAATGTGTATAGCATGCCATTTTGAGACATTACATAATTTTTGCTAATATTAGCTTCATTTCAAGTTATATTGAGGACTTTTGAAAATATAGTAATGAGTCAGTATTTTTTCTAAAAAATGATTATAGTGTTTGCATTTGAGCCCGGACACGGCAAGAGACGCGGTGCTTTACAGGCAAGACGTTCCTATCTCGGGCAAACCAATTCCAGGGAGTCCATCCTGTACAAAGAAAAGAGAACTTTTCCCAGGACTTCCGCCCGTGTCTCCGAGTTCATGGCCAGGGTGCATATTAGAATTTTTTTGCAATTTTGAAAAGTAAATCACTGATAGTCAAACATTCTGAAGAATTATCAACCCTCAATTAATAGTCTAGGTACACTAATATATCTTTTGTGCAAGAATGATGTGTGGAGTGAGTCATGTTTATCTGAAAATAGTACATGGTCATGAAATTTCATCAAAGTGCACCCTGACCTTAAAAACCAAAATTTGATCGCATGGTTTAAATCAAGGTGGAAGGAGGTGAAGAAGTGAATTATTAAAGCAGCAAACGTGATCAATTGTTCAAGGTCTCCCGCAAAGTAGTCCCTACACTCGTACTTTGCGCTGCCTTCGGCAGAGGAGACCTCGAAAAAATATTGTTCTTTTCTTGGACTTGAGTCAATGTTGCTTTTGAAACTTACTGCCATCACATGGTCCTAACTCACCGGGGCGTATCGAAACCAAAACGCACCGCAAAACCGTTAATTTGGATTTCAAATCTACCCTGTCTTTGGAAAATCAATGATTGTGAGTCTCACACTACACCGTTTTTTTCCTCAAACTTATTCCATTAAAACCTTCACAGAAATACCTTTCAGTCGAGACATTGCTTTTGTTTACAAAGTCCCTCGTTTTAGTGGCGTTTTGGTCCCCAGATGTGATGAAGTTGCAAATCCTCAGAGATTTCAACCATAATTCTTGATATCTCGCCAGTTCTTCGATCACTCTCCCCCATGTTCTGCGCAAGGACTCCTATTACAACCCTCCATCGCTGCATCAACATATTTATTACATGAAACGCAGCAATTTTGAAAAATCCTACGCAACTGTTCGAAATTGACTAAAACGCCCTGTTGTCTTCCAAAACGCCCCACAGTCCAGTCAGTATCTAGATAAGGTGTAGAGACCCAACTGGGCGTTTTGGATACAATGTATACTGTTAGTATACTATGTGTTATGTCTCTACATTTCCTTATGTTGTAGGCATTGGAGCTTCAAGGGATGATGGGAACCGTACTGCCTGTTCATTATATTGGGGTGGTTGAAATCATTGAGACTCTACTTCAAGCTCTCATCCTCAACATATCCAATGGCAGGTTTGTAACAATTTTAATTAATAAAACATGGTAAATTTTGATTGTTGAAGCCAAGTTTGGTTTTTAGTTATGGAATGCAACTTAAACTTTCAGTTGTTGAAGCCAATTTCAAAGGTATCCAAAAGTGTATTCAGTTTCTCAGGTGCAATATTATTTTGTAAAAATACTAAGAAAATCTAACAGTTTTATTTTTTTCATGAGAATTTTTCGTTATACCAAAGAAAATAATGTACTCCATGCAAGTGGGTAACTCTCACTTCTGTTTGAAGTCCAACAATGCTTTGAGTAAAAGCTATTGAAAACAGTGACTTTGACTTTTCATATAATTTCACTTAATATCCAGATAAATTCCTTCTGCTTACAGACTTACGAAAACATTTTATAATTGAATGATGTATCACTGGTAAGAAAATCGAAGGGATTGGTCTATAAAAAGCATCTGTGTGAAAAAGCATCCATTACTTATTGATCACCCCACGTATGTTTTCATTAAAAATAAATTAAACACTTTTGTAACATTTTCAGAGTGGAGAAGCTTGGGATCAATCTGCTTGAAGTATTACACAACACTCTGGACCAGAGCAATGAAGATTATCTCCTCTCACATGTCAAGAAAGAACAGATAACCAATGACTCTATGGATGAGTATGGTAACATACAGACAACCCCTAATGAAAATTTGGAAATTTTAAAATCATTTTGCTCAATGACAGCTGACGATCTGTCAAAGTCTCAACAGGAAAAACTTGCCGAAGATCACATCCATCAATCAATTGATGACACTAGTACTGATCAAGCTGAAATAGTTAATGCTAACCACATGAGTCTAACAACAGAACCTTTGAAAATCACCATCTCTCCAAAGAAACCCAGAAAGAAAAGGACATTGATCAAGAAAAAAGAAACATCAGACAATGAGGTTACAAGTACAAAACGTAAAAGGAAATCCAAAAAGCAAACCCCCATCAAAATAAAATTGAAAGATGAGGATTTGTCCAATCAAGAGGATGACGAAGAAGATCTTGATGAAACTGTGGATAATAATACGGATGTGTCTTTCAGTGTTGAATACCCTTTAGATAAGAAGTTTATGTGTATGTTATGCAGAGAAACAGAATGTAGATTTTCAACAATTGGTGCATTGTCAGTCCATATAAAAGTAGAGCATGCTGTTGATGAGGAAAGGCTAAACTGTTTTGATTGCTCATTTATCTCTCAATGCACGTCCCACCAGGAGTCAAAGATGCCTTATTTCGCTGCTTATCTGATGCTGATAAAGCACATGCGTGATGAACACAAATTAGCTGTTCCTGATGATGTTTTCTTGGAAAACTGCCCAGAGTGTCCATACATTCCTTTTACACTTCGCGACCTTCAAAAACACAACCAACTGATCCATCTTAACAACCTGCATGGACTAAGAAATGTTAAAAGCTACAAGTGCTTTCTCTGTGAACCCACAAAAGAACAAAACTTTGATGACCAAAAACAGTTTCATAATCATGTTCGGGCAGATCACACAAAAACTGTAGATTTATTGACTGGTAAAAGGGAGATGAAGTGTCCATATTGTGATTTCAGTCAAGTTCAGAATCAGGTGAAGGACAAGAAAGTGCTGAAGAACCCAAGGATTCTGAATATTCGCCTCATAAGAATGGCCATTCACATGACGAAGGCGCACAATCTAGAACAACCAGAATACATCCCAATGTTTAAGTGCGACCAATGCGAATATCAAACAAACTTATTCAGAAATCTTAAGCTTCATAAGAGACTGTGTAAAACCAAACAATTCAGACCACGATCTGTATGCGAGATATGTGGCAACAGTGTTCTTAAAGCAAATATGAACGCTCACATAAAAAATAAACACACATTAGGGGACATAAAACCCCACCAGTGCCCAGACTGTGGTGAGCTGTATAAACACAAAATAACATTAACCCAACATATTCAACGCAAACACATGGGAATGGATGATGACGTCCACATGTGCACTATCTGTGCCCATACTGTGAAATCACGCGCGTCCCTCGACCAGCATATGCTTCATTCCCACAACACAGTGACGTCAAAAAGAGAGGCGTTGAGTTGTCAACACTGTGATAATTACAAGACGTACAGCAAGAGTAAGCTGCAGATTCATATTCTGAGACACCACAATTCTAATGAAAGGACGTATCAGTGCCCTGAATGTCAGAAGTTCTATAAAACAACAGGTTAGTAAGAATATAGTCTTGTCCCTTTATTGCACAATTGTTAAACATAAAGCATGGCGACTCAAGAGCATGACTTATATTAGTTTCATAATGACGTCAGGGAGCATGTATTATTTTGTTACCACTACATTTATTACCCCCATATCAAACAGTATCAGGTGGGGGTTGACCAGAGACCATACCAGTCTTGCTTATGTACAAAGAGCACATCCCAATGTGAACAGTAATTTCAGTTATGTTTTTTATTAACTCCCCTTGTGTCCAAACCTCTCGATGTGAAAAGTTCTCAGGCCTAAAACTAAAGTGACATTCTTTTTGCTTTAGAGCCCTTAGGGCACTGTCTGATATGTTTCACACTTGTACAGTACTTTATTTAAAAATCAATGTGTGCAAGATTACTTTGAAATGACCCCTAAATATGAGTTACTAACAACATAAGCAATTTTTGCTTTTAATCTGGCTTCATTTAATGTTTCAGCGGACTTGAACTACCATATCAAACGCTACCACAAGAACAGAGGTACATTTCCCTGCCCACAATGCCCCTACGTGTCACACCTAAAACTTTACTTGGACAGACATATGCAGATTCATGATGGGACAAAACATCCTTGCCCAATTTGTGACTATTCCACAACATTTCGTGAAAACCTCACAAAACACATCAAGAATGTCCATAAAGTCAGTACGGTTGGAATGATGAAGAAAGATGCCCTCACAAGCCCCTCAATTAAACTTGGACAGAGTTTTGAAATGCAGGACACGTCAATGAACTTTGATCATAATGCCAGATTGAAGTTAAACCCAAAAGTGGAGAACCAGAGAGGAAGTTATGTGGACTCTTTACTCCCCAATATGGAACAAGCAAAACCTGTAAACTTGACCTCTTATTCTCATGAATTGCATAATTCCACCATTTGAAATGAATATGGAATATTTCAAAACATTTAAGGTGCCTAGAGGTACTTGCGGGTATTTTTATGGATTAAGATTAGCTAAAGATTTGGTTGACCAAATATTCCTGTATATCTGGAAAATGTTATGATTTTCAACCAATTGTTCAATTTTAGTATTTGTAGTATTTATATGCCTTGCCCAAGTCAGTATTTTTTACTTATCTGATCTTGAATTATTACTGCCGGTCATAATAGAAATCAAGATATGTAAAAGAGACCGACTTGGGCAAGGCTATATGGGCATCTGAAGATCAGAATATTGATAATTTATTATGATCCCACCAAATGAAGTTCGCTAGGGATATAGAGAAGCTGCCTGTTCATTCATTTGTCCAGGCGATGATAACTCAAATTCTGGTTAAAATCTTTTGGTTATTATGGGAAAAGTCGAAAAAAATTTCAATATGGCTGCTCAATTCAAAATGGCCACCATCTTTCATAAAAAAAGTTAACTTGATAAATCGAATACTAGTGAACAGATTGAGTTCCAATTTCACTTGCAGGTGCATAAAAAATGAAACCTTTGGCAATTTATATACCAACTGATTTGGTTCAAATTTTATAAGAAACAATGTGAATTTTATTATTTGAGTAAGCCAATTAGATCCCATTTCTGAGTTCTGAAGGCAAGTTCCGAAATACGCTGCAATTCTTATCTTTGCCTGAAGTTTCTAACTTACGTTCCTAGCTTTTATTAAAAGGATGATTTTGGAAAAAGTATGCATTCTTGGGCAATTTTACTATTTTCAACAAATTGTTGATAGCATAAGAAGTATAATGGCTCTGTAAATGTCAAAACAGTATATTGATATGATGATTCTTGTTATAACTTGTCATGGTGTTGCATCTATGGGTCTGGTTCATTGGGTCACAGGGCAGGAACCATAATGTATATTGTACATACAAGTAATCTCCTCAGTACTATATTAATAACTAGGTGCTTCACCATTTTGAAAATCTGAAAATTGCAGTACATGCCACATTTTTGAAAATCCTTTTCCAGCTTGCTAACAATGTGAAATCAAGATATTTTGACCAAAATACTGGTATTAAGATTTAGCGCCCCTTTGATAAAATCCTTGGGAAATCACTGATGTATTCAGTTACATAAATAGCATAATTCTTAGATAACATGTACAGTAGTATAATGTACATAGTGTAACACACAATATTCCTTTTCATTGATTCTTTGGTTTTGATTTTATAAGGACTTTTAAATCAAAGACCTCTTGAAATGTGCAATTTCCATCAAAAACAGTTGTGCAATAATAAGTTTCTTTAATACTGTAGCAATGTTATCAATGTGTAATCAAGTTTTCTCTTTGATTTGATTAATTTCTTGTATTATAGGCCTACCTTTTATGGCCTTTACTATTTGGCATTGGGTGTCTGGCATCTATAAACTCCACAGTATATGAAAGAAGTTATAATCAGATTGACTTTTTATCCATTTTGTTCTATAGGCTAATAGACATGTTATATAAATATGTCAACATATTGGTAATTTATGTAACTGCATAACATGAACATATCTGCACACGTCATTAACATGTTCAGATTCTAGGCAATATCCATTACCGTGATTACAAATTATGGGATTTTGTGGATGGTGTTTGGTGATCGGCATTTGACATTTGGTGTCTGCAACAAATGGCAGGTGGTGACATTTTGCATGTAAACTCCTGATTTGCACTAGATTTGCTGGTATTTCAGTATTCAGGTCGACCGTTATGTGGCCATCCATATACCATTAATCTAAAGTACTTTCAAACCAATGAACTCATTTTGAGGGAATTTTCACATCTTTAGTCAGTTTATGTAAGGGATTTAGGTCATTAAAAATCAAGCATCATAAGTTCCAAATTAAGGTAAATTACAAATAACGACCACGAATCTTTACCATGAGGCTGGGGGAACACATTTGACCTTTTACTATGGAGCTCGGAGAAAATCTGATACTGTACTTCAACTTAATTTTGCGTTACTTATTTTGGCAGATTTGCTGCTTTGAAGATTTGGTGGCTGCTTAATTTGGCGGACTTGCAATATATATTTGGTGGCCACTTAATTTGGCGGACTTTTTACAATTAAAACGGCCGCCAAATTAAGTAGAAGTACAGTGATTGAATGAAGAAAAAGACAAACTTGTGTTTATATTAAAATATGTATTATATTGTGCATCTATCAGCTGGTAATGGTATTTTATTTTTATGTTGTAATTTAGTTCCTGTATATATTTTGGTAACTTTGATTAACTGTAATTCATGTATAACATGTACAGTGCTATTATACCAGAAATAAATGAATAAATGTCTTATCAGTGTATAACAGTACTGAATTTCTTTATTTTTTAAACAGGTCATACATAAGAGAATATTGAATTTAACGACATTTAAGAAAGCCTGCTTTCTATCTCTTATTCTACTTTTAATCTAAAAGACATATGGTAAAGGTTTGTAGTTTCAATGAACATACCAAATTATTTGTAAAAAATGAAGTGTGGCCTTTGCTGTCAAATTCACACACAGATAAATTAAAAATGTAAGTACCAATCAGTCTTTAAAGGAATGTTCCTTGCAAGCCCATTTCTGTTGTGATATACAGGGTTGGCCAAATAAAACGCCACCTTTTTTTCAAGACACAACTTTTTATTTTTCAACCTACATACCCCAAATTTTGCAGTTATATAGTGCCAGGAGTTCTTAGTTATAATATAATGTAACAAGTCCTTCAACTTGAAGTATATTTGATCTAAAAGAGGAGTTCAATTGGTCCGCCACCCTATTTAATGATATATTTTAGTTATAGTCTCCTTGCTGATATAGCAGTATCAATGAAATGTTAGCAAAGTTTTTTTCAACCTGTCTTAATTGCCAGCTTTAGTAGAGCAATTTTCTAGATTGGGTGCCTTCATACAATCTCCTGGAGACCTTCCCATACCCTATACTCACTGGGGTTTGCATCAGGGGTATAAACTTGGCAATCATCAGGCCGTATCAGTTCAGGAACATTTTGCAAATTATGCTTATTCCTCATGGCACACCACATGTTGAAGTGAGACACTGGTGACATATTTTATTCAAGTAAAAGTGTATAATTCATGATCCTTGGCTTGATAAAAACCTGAAGTTTTATTTGGTATGCAAATTATGATTTTGTATCAAAAATTAAAAAAGTGGTGTTTTTTGGCCCACCCTGTAGTAGCTATTACCATTATTATACTATCCATATTTAACGAAACATGGGAAAATGTTTTGAAATGTCAAATTCAATCAGTAATGTCTATAACTAATTCTTCAGATAATATCTTGTTTTATTTCAAGTTGACACGCCCCAAAAATGATTTTGCACAAATGGTAGGTGATTTTGTGCTACTTTCCTATACTGTTCTTGGCAAGTTAGTTGAGAGCCATCATCACTTTCTAAGTAAGTAAGAGAAAAAGATGGCAGCCTACTGGAAATGGGCACTGCACTTTTAAATGATCAATATTGAGAGTATAAAAATGATTATCCATGTTATAGCAATCATATAAAGAGAGAAATGGGCTCGCAAGGAATATCCCAAAAATTATTGCATATTTTTACACATTTGAGGTGAGACTAATCACGTCTGTATCAAATTGAGCATTTTCATATCAGTGGATGAACCGGAACAATATATATACCACATCTTGGATGAATTTTTATCTCGGAGCAGTTCTGAGTCCATAAGTGATGCAAACTAAAGTTTTTGCGCCTTCAGCACACTTTATGTCTGTATGTCTATGTCAATAATCTGCAAAAGGCTAATAAGCCCATATAAAGCAGATATATAATTTAACAGTGATAGAACTTGAATAGAATATAATTTAAAACCTTAACATTTAAAAATAGATCTATGGTTTACAACTCATTTGAAATTGAAAGGAACCTTCCTGGTAGGCCCCTGTACCCCCCTAGGAAGTCCCTTTATGTTAAAATACCCTGGGGCGACTATCAGGCTACCGCGTTGACATCTCCCCTCTTTACCAGAAGTGTATGTTTAGTCTTTGATATGTGTATTTGTATCTGGTATAACATTCTTTATCTGGGCTAAAATACTTCCCAGTAAAAGACACTTTGACCAGATATACTTTTAAATCATCCCTTTATACAGAGAAACTCTATTTCTTAAAATTTATACAACATTTATCTTATCCCGTGCCAGGACTATAGACTATAGTCCTGGCACGGGATAACATTTATCCATTAAAAATACTATACAAAGATAAAATAATTTACATGAAATTATTTAGTTTTTCAACAGATGCACTTTTCTTTTGAGATCTAACTTGTTATCATAAACCTCTTTCCCAACTGATTTTTACACCAAGTCGTTCCATCATTACATTCATTCCTTTTCAAAATGTGCCATATTGTCAGTGTCATCCCAAAATTGATATTGGTCAGTGATCTGTATTCCTCGTGTGAGTACATTTATATATACAATATATGTCATAGGGATATCCTCCTTGTAATTGGAGGGGGGGGGTGTATAGAGATATTGTATATCGTATAAGAGGCTGAAAATTTATTGTATATTGTATAAGAGGGGGCAAAATTTATCGTATATGGTATAAGAGGTGTAAAAAATATGGTATATGGTATAATAGAAAATATATGGTATATGGCATCTAGAATTAAAGAAGGGTAATTATGAAGAAATTGTACCCTAAAGATCCCCATTGTGCCAACTCTCTTACTGTAACCGTGTTGGAAAAACATGGAAAAGTAGTCTCTCTAATTGGTTCCACATTCCAGGTCAATCAATACTGTAAGTTTAGAGAAAATCCCTCTCAAACTAAGAGTTTTGTGCCCTTTTCATTCAAATTTTCACAGGAGGTGTTAAATATAGTCTCAAATAAGAATCACGGCCAGTGATCAGAAGAAATGAATGGAGGGGGAGTAGATCTAGCTGATTTTCGGTAGAAAATTCAACAAATCTTG